AATAGCATTAATTCGATTTCGGTTCGGGTATACCGAACTGTTTACCCACCCCTACTCCAAACACACGACTACAACGTTCTTTCCAAATTCAGCTGCAAATCCAGCACCAGATAGAACTAATAACAGGTCCTTCTTTACCTTTTTCGCCAGTATACACAACTCCTGCTCAACCTTGATATTTACACACAAATTAGTGTTGGAAAAGTGGAAAAATACACCACTTATAATTTGGGATGCCATATATTAATCTAACTTTCATTAGCTCATTATATATAGCGAAACAGTTCATATATCTATTTAATCGAATGTTATTATAATAATTAACTTTGTAAATTTACAAAATCAATCGACCTCACCCCACCCCAAAATTTGCCTCCATTGAGGGATTTCTTGTACGAAACATTAATTGTTTATTATATCTGGAGCTACGGAACTATCACCCTCTCTGTTAATTTTCTTTTGTTTTTTTTCCCCACCTGTAACTGTAAACAGCCTCGACATAGACCTAGTTAGAATGTGATCCCAAGGCGCATGCTTTGACGAAAATAACAACTAAAATTGTTTTTATTTTGTTAGAATTTCATGCTAATTAATTACAAAAAAAATCTTGTCGTCTCATTGTTGTGTCTATCTGGCTGTGGGCCGAAACTGAACCCGTGAGTAAAGCGGCCGGGTCAAGCTGGCCCACGTGTGTGTTGCTGTAATCGATTCCGGTTCGGCGTTGGTTGGTTGTGGCCGGTGCGGTTACGTGGCAGCGGACGAGTGGCTGTCTGCTGTTGGTCGTGAGTTTTTTTGGTTTTCCTATTTATTTACCCCGGGTCAATATTCTGTCTTTTTTTAAAAAAAGTTATTACATACAGAAAATAATAAATAAAACGAATGTGGGAAGGCCGAAGGACAGTTTTTTTTTTGTACACAACACAAGGGAAGGACAGTTGGAGTGCGTGGGTTGTAATAATTTGTCTGGTTCCGTTTTCCTTTTAGTTTCCTTTTCGAGAGAGGACAGGGAAACGTGCGACCAAGTTCGTTAGCTTGGAAGGAAGGAATATGGGAGCGGATCCCCTCAGTAACCAATACCTCAGTAACCATCAGTAATCCCTTCTCCTGGCCCCCACGTGTCAGTTTTTTTTTTTATTTAAAAAAAATACGGAGGGGCACTAAGGTAAAATTGCACCCCCTATTTAATGATGTCTCTGACGCGCTGACGCTGACCAGATCACATCAGCGCCTTCTCTCTCCTCAAACAACCTTTAATTTTCCTTCTCTTAATCTTTAACGGACGATTTCTCACTCGTTTTAAGTCGGAATTTAATTTTTTTTGCACAGTTAGATCAGATTAATTGTGCTCTTCAAAATGATATCCACTTTGATATTTTTCAGACATAAAAAAATTTGTCAGTTATTACCAGTCTATACCATATGGTAATGACTGGTATTGACCATACCATATGGTATGAAAAAATTTGTCACATCAATATATATTACGTTACCACCCAATACCATATGGTATAGTGTGGTAATATCAATATATATTTCGTTACCACCCAATACCATATGGTATAGTGTGGTAATATCAATATATGGTAAATCTAACTACCATACAATGCCAACATAGTAGAACATGGTTAATCGAATGAACACAAATTAATTGTAATTACCATACAATACCACATTGTATGAGAAGTTAAAACCATATAAAAATAATATAAATCTAATTACAACCCTTTTACGACCATAGTAAAACACGATATCCATAAAAATACATTTCGTTACCACACTTTACCATATGGTATACATTTTACCATATGGTATAGACACATTACCATATGGTATATACACTTTACCATATGATATAGACACTTTACCATATGGTATATACACATTACCATATGGTATAGACACATTGCCATATGGTATATACAAATTACCATATGGTATAGTGTGGTATATACACATTACCATATGGTAATGTGTCAATACCATATGGTATCGACACATTACCATATGGTATAGTGTGGTAATCTCAATATATATTCTCAAAGAAGGGGAAACAGAAGGAGGAAGAGGGAAAAATACTTGTCTTCTGTCTCCTGTCATTTACTCCTCCGCAATGAAGAACACCGAATGCAAAAAGAAAGAAAAAGAGGAAGAAGATCGGAATTAATTCACAAACAAATACTAAAACACAAAAGATGCAAACTCAACTCACCTAGATCTGTCCCCTCTTTGACAATATGGAGCATCATCGATTTTGAGGCCGATAAAAGAAAAAAACAGAAGGAAGGAGCAGTTTGAGAGTAGAAGGATTTGGAGCCTCACCGAATTTGAAGTGGGAGGCTGCAATTTATTCATCGATTGTTGGAGAAAAAAATGAAGAACAAGGGAAGAAATGAGATTTAGATCTGGAAAAAGAATTTTGGAAGAGAGAAAGGAAGAAAGAGAAAAGAGAGAGGAAGAGAAAAGTCTGCTTTTTCTCTTTCCTCCATTAAAAGACAACAAATATAAATGCTGGAAAAAATAAAAAAAAAGGAAAGAAATCAAATTTCAAAAATCGGACAAAAATGCCCCTCCTCACTCCACGTGCAGCCCAACAATATAATAATGTCAGCCCTAGATCTACGGTCCGGATTTAATACTGATAGGTCAGTGACCAATGGTTACTGACCCTATCTGCTGCCAAGGAATATGACCTTGTTGGAGTTTCGAGGAAACCAAACTTAGGTAACCAATTTGCGGAGCGAGAGCGAAAGAGCGTTAATTTTAGAAGAATTCAATATTAAGAGCGTGAAAAGAGTGTTATTATTATATTAATTTTAATTAGATTTATGACTTAATTACTAAATAGTATATAATAAAGTTGTTATTAATGAGATTGAACAAAAGCCATCAATAAATTTTGATTTATCATAAAAAAATCATAAAATTTTGCATCCAGTTTTTTTAATACTACCAATTAAATTCTTACACCCAACGCTTAATTAGACTTTTTCATTATGGATTGTGTTCAAGAGGTTGTCATGGATTAAGTTAGAGTTGCAGGGCTTGTCATTGAAATTTGCAAGCCCACCTGGCCATCCAAACACAACCCAAGCCCAACCAAATCCAACAAACTCCTAGCCACCTACTGGCGACACTAGACAACAACAGATCCCTAATTCACCTTTCCTTCTCCTACCTTCCGCATTCTTCTTCTCGCACCAGGAGAGCAACAATGGCTCACTCCCGAAAATGAAACGCAGAGCCCAAAACATCCGACCTGCAAGTAATCGAAGCTGAAATTACTTCTCCTCAATGATCGACCATATTTCCCCAAACCTCCTCTCCACAATCCAACTCTGCCGCAACTCCTCCATCTCTGTCTTCTTCACCAGCCACCACCACAGGTTCCCAGCTGACTAATGCATGCTTGCGGAGTGGTGAGACGTCGTGCTATTCATCGATGGCAGGCCTTAATCCCAACTGATTCACCCAATTGCTGAGCTGAGAACAGAGGGAGGCGGCGCCGAGATCATCATCAAGAAGAGCACCTATATCGCCTTTGCCAAAACTGGGATGCATGAGGAAGAAAAGAAATCCGCGCTTCTCCATATATAATCCGCGCTCTAACTCAATATAATTCACGAATTATTGGCGAATTAGGGTGAAATCGCGTTTTTGCGATTTAGAGCGAGAACGGCAGGGGTAAGTGAGCGAATTGTATGACCTAAAACCAAACACAGCAATGCATGAGCAGTTTTTTTTACCTCTTCGTTTTCTACAAGGTGAAATGTTGATAAGAGGATCTCATATTGGTCATTCAATGTTTCCATCCACCCCTTCATAGGCTATAGACCTTTGATAGATTATCGAAGTCACCTATGGTATAGCAGCTCACATTCGTTTGCACTGTGTCTTCCCGTTGGATTGGACACGTCTTAGCTATAAGAAGTATGGTTCCGAAAGTGATTTTGGTTCGCCGGTTCAGGCTCAACTCTTCGCTTTATATTAGCGGATTTATAGATCCGGTCGGGACTTTGCGCGCTTTTTTCGGTATGGGATAATGCCGAGAGAGAAGGAAATGCGTCGAGACGGCGAACAACAACAACACAAAAACTTTTTTTTCCTCCATGACATGAGCCCCGTGCATTAAACCGATGTATAAGAGAACATAGCTGGCCCAAAAGGCGCTCTACAATGTAAACTCCATCAAATACATATCGATTTTCTTATGATGGATTAAAAATAGAGAGTTGTCTCATTAATAGATAGAAATAGGCTACGCACCTTTGTGACATAAACAATGTCAATATTTGTATATTTGTATGTAGTTAATAATACTCAAACCCAATACGTCGTCTTGATTAGTTTCGCTTGTTTACCAATTAGGGTTGTAAGCATGACCCTAGATACCCACGGACCTGCCGGGTCAGTTTATCTACATGGTCAGCTTAGGTAGGGTCAAGTTAGCGAAGAGGCCTATCGGACAGGGTTAGGGTCAGTTAGGGTCGGGTCACTTTTTGACCCTACGACCCATAATGTCTTGAAATTCCTTATACCAACATATTGGATTTGTTTGTAAACTTTGAAAAGTTTATGTATTATAAAGTAAGAGACAAAATATAAAGGTATCGTAATAAAATTTTCCACCAAATTTTTTGAACCTATTTGTATAAAAAAATTAAAATTTAGGTACTAAATTGTAAAAAAATAATTTTAGGTACCAAAATATAATTTTTCCAAAACAGTTATGTTTGCACAGGGTCGACCCTCTGACCCGTCCCTACCTGACCCTAATGGGTCAGACAGGGTCAAGAAGGAATGAGGGACGGGTCATGGGGCAATTTTCAACACTATTACCAACAAGCTATAGAGAACTTTGTGATAGATACTTGTATACTTATGAAAATTGGTCGTGGATAATTGTAAACTTGTCTACCAACCTATCTCATTGTATATTTTTCATTTTTACACCAAGTCCACTTTGAATGAAATTCTAACTACACCCTTGCTCGTCACGATCATCACAAAGACAATTGATGGTATGTGTTAAGACTTAGGACAAGTAGTTTCGGGTCATGATCAAAATCGACATTTTCAAGACAATGCCAACTTAAGGGCGAAGTAAAAAAATCTATATAAAACTCTTCAGTGCCTAAAATGCCTAACATGGGTAAAAGTAATGAAACTCCGTAATTGTTGCAGTAGTCTATGGCCTCCTGATCTCTGATGCTGCCACCTGGCTCTGCTATAACACCAATTCCTGCTTCACATGCTTCTTCCATAACATCATTCCAAACTATAAAGATGTAAGAGCACGATTCATTCGACAAATTAGATTCAGAGATGGTGGGCAACATTGTCATTCAAGTTTACTCTAATCCTTTTGTAGAAAAAAATGGAGATTCTCTTTCCAAGTCCTTGCCTAATGGGAAGAAGGCATCACTAGCCAATGCATCTCCTTTCACCCTAATCTCCTACCTTCCTCATTTCTATTCTTAAGCTTTCGACACGATTTGGCTGCCCACTTCCCATGCCTAGCATGCAGTTATTCTGCTCAAAGGGATGACTTCATAACTAGAGCTTAAACGGAAGAGAGAGAGCTTTCTGCACTTTCCCAAAGTTGGATTAACCAGAGTGCTAAGAAAATTCCAATCGCGCTTTTGCAATGAAAATTGCATTGCTCTTCACGTGTTTCACACAAAGTCATGCAAATTTTTCATCACTAAGTGCACTTTCATCCGTTGGCTTCTCGGCCATGGCCTTGAACTCAATATCTTCTACGGTCAAGTCATCTAATTCTTGAGCCAACCACCCACCACCAACCTGCCTTAGAAAAAAGCTTTCCTTTCTTATTCTTTCTCGCCTCGAGAATCCTCAATGTCTTTGACTTCCCACGAAGGGTCTCGAACGGCTTTTCTGTATACTTTGAAGCCACCACTATCTCATAGAACATTCGTGTCTCACCATTGATAGGGCTTCTGAACTCCCTGATTTCCCTAGCAAGGGCCTAGAAAATAGAAGAGATCCGAGGAGGATTTTGATAGAAACCTAATTTTTGGGTTATATCATAATCAATGCAGTCAAATTTGAGATTTTAAGTAAAATCGAAAACTAAGGTAGAATCGGAATCGTAGATTAAAATCGCAAGATAGTAAGATTTTAAGGTTCCTATTAAAATAAAAACTTAAAATACCAGATTGTAATAAAAATGCATATCCTGAATAACAATCGACCACATATAACATAATTACTTCCCAAGATAAGTTTGTTTGCTAAATAAACACAACTAAATCCATATATTCCTTCTCTTGTACATGATATAAACACACAAATAAGCAACCTGAAACTTTGTAGAAATCACTTAATTAATAGTTAAGAGCAGAAAATCACATAAGATCGTTAGAATCAACATTAACATTAGTTATACATCACCATCATCATCCTCATCCTCACCCTCACTCTCATCCTTGTCTATTTGCTTGAGGACTAATATTTATACTCTTAGGATCACTTAAAGTACTTTCACCATTAATCATATTTCCTTGATCATCATCATATGGCAAAGATAACTCATTGATTGATGCATTCCCTTCTTAATTGATAAAAGGTCGGGGATAGTGGTGTTGAAGGATTGGGAGATGAACGAAAGCTTGCAATGAAAAAGACATTTGGATTATTGTGAGGGGTGGTGCGAAAAAACTACAAGCGAATTGGGAGGATAGAAGATATCTTTGATAGAAGGAGTTGGGGGTCGACGTGCGAAAAAGGAAGATACGAGGAAGAGAATGAAAATAAATTGAGAATTGTCTATCGGGTTAGGGTTGTGTTGTTCATTATGTTGGATCGGGGGAAGTAAACTTCACTCGGTTCACGGGCAGAACCCGACTTAACCGACCTAATTTTACTCCAATTGATATGAACGTTGAAATCGTACAAAATTGTAGAAATTATGGGTGGCCAATTGGTTCGGTAAACCCGAACCGAAACCCAATCAAACCGACCCAAAACCGAAATAATGCTATTCGGTTTCGAATTCGGAAGGGAAATATAGATATTTCAGAACCAAGGTTCTTTTAACCGAACCGAATTTTTGAATTTCTGACCGGAAAACCGAAATACTATAATTGCAAGCTCCAAATGGTGGATTTTTATGTTTTTCGTTGTTTTTATACTTTAATATTTGAAATGTTTTATGACTTATGTGTTGAAAAGTTTGATTTTATCATTAATGATGCATATAATTGCATATTTATTGTTTATATTAGGAGTGAAAAATAATTTAATAGTGAGAAGATACATGTAGCCTCACAAATTCGGTTTTGTGTGAAAAACCAAACCGAATTATAATTCGGTTTAAACCAACCAAACCAAATTATAATTTTATTTAAACCGATCGAACAGAACCAACCGAATGCCTACCCCTAGTAGAAATTGTAGATTTTAAGGATATAAGGATTATATGGGATTTTAAGATTCAAAGATTTTACAATAAAATCAGGATCGGAACCCATAGGTAAGACCGTAAAATCGTAAGATTTTAAGATTAAAACCGGGATTTTGACTACTTTGATCATAATAATATTTATGACTTTGCTATGGTGACATGCATGTCACCTTAATTTGCACTTTTAGGTCGACCTAATATGCATTTTTAGGTCGACCTTATATAGGATTAGGTCGACCTAATATGTCGTTTTAGTTTTGTGAGGTTCAACGATGCGGTTGACCTTTTATATCAAATGGTCAACCTCTTTGGGAAGCGAACATAATGAAAGGTCGACCCAAAAACCTCATAGGACGATCATTTTGATTAACTGAGGTCGACCGCATAAGTACGAGGTCGACCGCGTGCACACCGTATCCGTATTAGATAAGGATTCCAACACCAGAAAGGTAACCCTAACTTATCTACCACTTAATTCGATCCATTCTCGTCCTAAATATCTATAAATACAGATATATGTCACCTTCACCGCCACCGACCTCTGAATTAGGTTATTTTTACGGTTAGAGATTTTGTGAAGAAGATCCTTTGCGGTTGCTGCTGTACGTGATTCAAGAGGTCGACCACGTGGAAGTTATGAGTCCTTGTTATTATAATTTATGACTGATTCTGTTGGTTTCAAACGTAATTTGTACGAGCAAAAGAACCACCCACATCGACATACATAAGCAAAAAATCGCATGGCATAGGTTGATTTACTTGTATCCGGTCGACCTCGTACCAGATTAGGTCGACCGCGAAACCAACACTTGATCTTCATTTTACGTCAAATGATGATGGATAAATGAATACATTACTTCTCTTCTATATGGTCGACCTCTTTCTGTAAATGGTCGACCATTTTGTTAATGACCGCCATCAAGTGGTCGACCTATATACTTTTACGGTCGACCATTTTGCTTCTGACGCCAATGAAAAGGGCGATCGATGTTTTATTGTGGTCGACCAACAATAAAAACTTAAATTACAAACGGTCGACCACTACATTTAAAAGGTCGGCCGTGATAAGTCATCAGGGTGCCCACATTAGTGTATTCGGGAACCTCACAAAACTGAAACGGCATATTAGGTCGACCTAATCCTATATGAGGTCGACCTAAAAGTGCAAGTTACGGTGACATGCATGTCACCATAGGCATACCCTAATATGTATTATAATATTATTAGATATGGTTAGTAGTCATTGAGTCGTATTATGATAGTCTATTAGGTTTTCCTGTCATTCGTTATAAATATCTACTTTTCATTTTATTCATAATCATTCAAGAAAATTATCAAAGTATCTCTTCTAAACCTATTTTCCCTAATCTCTCTTTTCCTCCTAATCTGGCCGCCGACCATTCTGTTCTTCTTCCCCAAATTCTCAATCTCTATCCCTAATCTCTTCTAAATCCCTAAATCTCCATCAATTCCCAATTTCCCCACCCAATCGATAGATCTTAGAAATAGATTTCTATCATCAGATGATAATGAGAAAAATGCACATGGACCCAAGTGAAATTGAGCAAGATTTTCCTTTGTCACCTCCGTCGGATGGCGACCACCTTGAGTACTAGGCATCCAGGACCTAAGTTCTATGTTTTTTTTGCTTTTCTTTATCTTATTTAAAACAATGTTTAATTATCGCTTTCTTTTTCATTTTTTATTTTCGTACTTTAAATATTCTAGTACTAGCAGTATTCGTACTTATATTATATATCTATCGTACCTATAACTCTTAATCGTCTTCCTCTCTATCTCATGAGCTTTATTTTTTGAAAACCACCGGGAAGACAAAGACCTACACTTGTGTACCTTCACTAAACCATAACCAAAATCTATGGTAACCCTCACGATCTTCTCTTATGAAACTCCCACATTGAGGACAATGTGTTGCTCAAGTGTGGGGAGATGAATGTTTGAATGAATGTCATGATTGGTTGAACCATATATTGCTAGAATCCTCCATTGTTTATGAATGGAAGATGTTGATGAATACTTATGGGAGTGTGTGCTAGCTATTGTGTTTGTGTTTGTGTTGTGGTGATCAATAGTCAAATGATAGTGTTTTGGAACCTTGAATGCTATTATCCAAAAAATCTCCAAATTTGAGGGTCCAAAACACCTTGTTCCTTGCAACTCCCTACTCAATATGCTTTTATTTGTTAGATAATTAATGTGTTGTGCTCGCTAAGTGATAGTTGCATGATTAGAGTACTAGTGTGTGGGTAATTTTACTATCTTCTTCCTCTTTTGTGAGTCAATAAAATGTGCTATTTTAGGAAGAACATGTGTGTGGGATTCTCTTTTGTGTCTAGTGAACTCAAAGCTTTTACAAGTTTGTGCGCATTAGAAAAGAAAGAAAAGAGTGAAACATCTTTTGAAAATGAGGCTCACATGGGAGGCAACCAATCCTCACGAATTCGGAGTTCCCTTTGAGGATATACTTGGGGATCAGATACCTTTACCGCGTCCCGACCATCTTCCACTACTTAGCATCCCCCAAGTATCTTTCCTCCTCATGGAATCGTATGCCAAGGTCCAAAGTACCTTTTAGCGATTCATGAGACCTCATAGCTCTCGTTTCTACCCGGCATGTGTGGCAACCCAATATGGAGTGCAGACTGGGAAGTGGTGCTCGGGCTAAGACGGATCCGCCCATCAACTTCCCCACATGTGACCTTGAAAGGGAAGGCCATGATTCATCCGCTCTTGGTCATGAGGGAGAGATGCTTGTTTGCAAAAGAATTGCAAAAGCTTGGTGCAATGCGCGTCAATGTCAGAAAAAGGAGACCAATAAATGACAACTCCTAAATCTAAAAAGAGAATAAAGAGTACCTTCAAGAGTTCTAGTTCGTGTTTGTTGTCTGAGAATCCCCTGGAGCACACCTTGAATGTTCGACCTAAGGTAGTATGTATGGTCTTCACCCGAGAGCTTGTGCTAGCATAGTAGGAAGATAGTAATGTTTATTCATCTCCGTCTACTCTTGTTTATGAAATGAAAAACTAGAGTGCATTCCCCATTGATTTGTCTATCATGTTGCATTAGGTTTGAGTCGGTTTGCTTGGGGACAAGCAAACGCCTAAGTGTGGGGGAGTTTGATAACACCTAAATTATTGTTATTTAACCCTCATAATCAAGGTTTGTTTCGTGCCAATTTATGTGCATAATTGCTTGAACATCGTCGATTGCATCCTATTTTGTTCCTATGTCAATTCGATGTGATTTTAGGGTGTATTAGACGAAAGATATGTGCGAATTAGGTGCAAAATAAGGTCACAAGTGTAGCAAGGAGGCAGGAAGCTGAAGATCGTGGTCTGACTCCTGTAGATCATGGTCAAGAATATAGATGCGAACTCAAGCTGAAGATTGAGGCCCAGAAACCCTAGATTGCCACCGCGAATTGGAGGTCTCTGGGCACAAACTTTGTGAGAAAGGAGCCAGGGAGAAGCAGAGACTTTCCCCCGTCGAATCACGGCCACAACATCATTTGACCGCGAGGAAGATCGCGGTCGTGAATCATAGATCGCGGCCGCGAATCGTAGATCACGACCGCGAATCGTAGATCACGACCGCGAATCGTAGATCGCGACCGCGAAGTCAGACCGTGATCTCAATTTCGAAGGCCATGACGACAGTGTTTCAAGATCGCGGCCTCACATCTGAAGATCACGACTGCGTTCTTTGTGCTTCTGGCCCTGAACTTCTCCGTTATCAGATTGCCTATAAATAGAAGACCCCATTCACCCTTTTTAGATGAGCTAATTTTGAGAGAAATTTTTAGTTTTAGGGAGAGTGAAGTGAGAGAAGTTGAAGAAAGGAGAAGAAGGAGAAGGAGCTAGAAGAGAGGGAGCATATTCCTCAACCAATGTCTTCTTCAATTTCTTCTATGTTTCTTCTTCCCTCCTTTATGGAGTAGTCCTCTAAGGCACTAGGTGTTCTAAACCCCAAACCCTAGCTTTAGGGTTTATTATGTATGTATGAATATTTTAGGGTTTGAATGAATAAATGCGTTTATCTAGTTGATTCTATTGCTATTTGTAGACACCACATTTTGTCAGGGATAATCGTTCTACTGAAAATTATTATTGTGACATCCTACTACTATTATATTTAATAACGAAGCTCGAGATAGATTGGTTGAGACTAACCGTTGCAAGAAAATATGAACCAACAATTACCAAATTTTCTCCTAGGCAATTCTAGGACATAATTAGTTAAGATAGAATCAGTTAGTTAAGATTAGCATTGGCAAATCTTAATATCAATTCTCAATTGGGTGGAAGAAATGGCTATAGTGCAAATTTTGATGCTCCATGCTCGAGTTTGGATTTGGATTTGGAAGATGAAATCGGAAAACTCGAATAGGCATAAATTTCCTTATCAGTTACATTGTACAAAAATACAGTAAATGTTAAAACTAATTACAATGGCCACAGACAATATCAGACATTGTAATAATTGGACCCTTTCCTACTGCCTATAAGCCCAAACCGAACAGGAACCTGCAATACAAAAAAGGACTAGTTAAGTTCAAACATAAGGTGCAATTTGTGGCAAAACCCGGCCCAGATCTGAAGAAACCCAAAACCAAGCCTAGTTGAAACCTGCCCATATCGCAAGTTCAAGAATCTCGCAAGCCCACAGTTGGTATCTGCCCAACACGTCTAGGCCCACCCTATCCAAACCAGTCTCGGCCAATCTTATCTACGATTTTGACTTTCAAGGAAAGATGACAGTTTTGCAGAGCTAGCCTCAAGGGTAGCCAATTACACGATGACACATGGCTAAATTCTTGCTATTAAATGAGCTCTCTATGCTGTTGTTTGGGAACGGTTTTGGGGAGGGAAAATGTTGGAGAACAGAAAACCGAGAGTTGATCTTCCTTTCTTAGAGAATTTATAGATTTTTTTTTATTTTGGTTTTACAAGCGTTGTGTGAAGGTAGGCAATCTAGAGCAAAAACAAGGAATCGTGAGTTCCAAGGTTAGAGATTTGTACTCTTCCATCTATTTCAATAATGATACGAGTAGAATCATTTACAATTAATCTCTTGCCAAGCTCTTTTCAATTACTATTGTAACTACCATATCATTTTCTTTGCACTTAATTGCCATTTCACCTTCCCATCATTTTAGCGCTCACTAATTATTATTACTATTTACTTCCGCAATTATTTATTTACTATGCTTGCCTTCGTACTTTTCCATGCTACCACTTTTTACAAACGTTATTTTAGCCAAGTTTCCTAGTTTTAATTTTTCTTTTACTATTTACTTCCGCAATTATTTATTTACTATGCTTGCCTTCGTACTTTTCCATGCTACCACTTTTTACAAACGTTATTTTAGCCAAGTTTCCTAGTTTTAATTTTCCTTTTACTATATAGTTGATAAACACTATATCTACAATATCATTTATAGTGGAAAAGTAAAACTGCATCCCCCATTCAAATTTCGGTGTCCTTAGAGTGATTTACGGTGCTGCTGTGGCTCCGCGTTTAGGCGGGCTTTTCCCTCTTCTCTTCGTGGAACCGCAATAATCCTTCTTCGTTTTCCTTTCTCTTTCCCACAACAAAACTCCTTTCTCCGATTTCCCTTCCTTCCACTCTTTCACCTCATTCGAATAAGTTTCTTGGCCTTCAGAAAACCAAACCTTGACACAATCATTTGGTTCTTTTATCTGCTTGCATCTACCTTTGATTTCCGTTCTCTAAGCGTTAGATCGGTATTGGTTTTGCCGTAAGTTATTCTTCCTCTTTCAAATTTCTGTTTGTTGTTGTCGCTGCTTTTAGGGATTCGGGTTCTGGGTCTTTTTTCAGGGATTCGGTTGCAAAGATTCATCCCCATTGCAACCCATTTAGAGAATCGGTCACTTGGAATCGCTATTCTGTTCTGATTTCTACAGGATAATTACAAGATAACCCAACTACTTTGGTTGACAAGGATTTCCCAATGCTGTTTTTGCGTGCGTCCTTCAAGTTCTGCTGCAACCATGGTTGGATTGAGAGTATTTTTTCCGTTGCTTGTTGCAGGTTCTTTAAACAATGATAAGAATGGCTCTTTGTACTCATCGTTACTCTTGATTTGCTGCTATTCCGTGCTCTGTCTTTAATGTTGGGCACCTGAAGTTACGACCCACCAATACCCCAGCGGTTACCCACCCAATTCGCAGCGAAGAACATAGTTGCCCGAGTCAGCGTCGTCTCCTCCTCCGCTTCACCTGCACGCTTCCTCTGCTACCCAGCTGAAGATCTCGGTGTTCCTCAGCCCTTCCCACCGCCTGCAACTACCTTCCCCACACTGATTCCTCCTATACCAATGGATTGTCTATAGGTATGCATTCGTCCTCCCGTACTTCTATCCAAGATTTTGTCGAATACCGAAATTTGAAGAATCGCCTTAAACACTATTAGTTTTCTGCTAACCTCTCATCAGCTCCAAATGGATGAATCCGTTTTCATTTTGCGACTACCTTCACTTCGGCCCCGATTTCAATTGAATCATTTTGTGGAACAAGCCATCAATTTGGCGGCGTCCAGTCTTCCTGTGTACTTCAAAATCAACGACTTCAATCAATAAAAGGATCCCACTCATTGTTTCCGGTCTTTCTTCTATGTTAATGATAGGTTTGCTTGGAGAGTATTTTTGCTTTGTTTGCTGGAGGTTCTATAAGCTCTACTAAGATTATCTCTTTTTGTAGTTTGTACTCATCCTTGCTCTTGCTTTGCTGCTACTCGGTGCTGTGTCCATATCTTTCATGCATATAAGAAGTATTTATCTATTATGTTCACTGCGTGAAAGTTTGGATTGAATTACCCTGCTGCCAAAATGTACTTGCTGTTATATTTTAGTCTTCAAACTTATAATTCAAACAAAAGGCCAATCAATGTGCAAGGAGAGCTACGAAACAGACCAAACATAAACTTTTCACCACCTTGCCCTCTCTTATAAGTGTAGCTTGAAATAGTGAATTGCGGCATGTATTGATCATAATGTTCCCTTCTTGCGCTTACAGAAGCCGATGGTTGTTCGTTGGAGGTTAGTGCCCTGGTAGTGCATAATCTTAGTGCTGGAATTGAAGTCCTTGCTGAATATGGCTCTCAGAATAATTTTCATGGAAAGTCATTTGCACAACCACCATGCGTACCAGCGACCGCATCTCTTGAACAAAGTATGTTTCAAATTATATGCGTATTTACATTTGGTCCCCCCCCCCCAATAAATTGAAGCATTTAGTTGCAATGAGAATGAGATTTAAAAGTGGATCCTGATCAATTTTTAATTATAACCCTCTACTGGCAGCCCAAGTAATTCAGGATCATGTTTGCCAAGTTACATTTGTTAATGGCAACTTCATTTGGTTGAGTAGTACAGATCATAAAACCATGACTTTACTTTGGTTGGGATAATACAGGCTGCGTACAAGGGTTGATTGTGTTTTTAATCAGATAAACATGGTTCTCTTCACACTGATTCTTATGCTTCTCAAATTGATGTGTCGCCTACTGCATTGTTGCGTTGTTGCTGTCTCCTTGATATGCTACATTCTTTTTGTGTTGTTGCTATTATAAGAATAATAACTAGCTAGGAATCAAATCCATGATTATTGAACATAATTTTGAAAGAAATCATAGTTAGCCGAATTCCTAAATTTTTTTTACTAAATGATACTTTCTTTTCATGGCTTCATTGTTCGTGGATTATTTTTCTGATTTTGGTATGATTTGAGAAGATTTGTGGATTTAATAGAGCAAAATTTTCCCCTTAAGGTTTTGTTCTTCAAAAGTATTATTCTGTAACGGTAAGTAGTTGCAAATCATGACTTTTTGTTAATTTTGGTTCCAAAATTCACACTACAAGTAGCTTCCCGGAAGAATGTCTTTCGATATGGGCGACATTAATTCAAAAATGGATCTTCAAGCTATGAGAGTTTGAAATGGAAGAGCATGTATCATTTGACGAAATAGCACTAATCATGAAATTTTTTAGATGGCTTAAGATTATTTTGGATGCTCACTTTATCTCTTTAGTTGTGTCTTCTTGGTTGATGCCTTTACTGCTCTGCTATTTGTGGAAACTTAATTAGTAGCTAAGTATCATGTTTTGGTTCCTTCTGCATGTGGATTGAGACTTATGGGTCTGCCTTGATTTCATGAGTCTTAGTGATTTTATGTCCAGAATGTAATAGCTCACGCCAGTTAGTCATGTGGGAGAGTTATTGTCTACATACCAAAGCTCTCTTCTTCAAACTCAATAGCTAATAAGTTACATGTATTTATATCAGGTCATCATTTACTTTTTGTGCGAGGATAGATGCAGTTTGGTCCATCAAGGATTTTTTTTTTTGTCTTTCTCAAGAAACGATGGATATAATGATCTGTTCTTTTCTGTTTATGCATTTCGTGTCATTACATACCACAAACTTCTGATGGCCGAGGAGTTCAGTTTCTGTACCAACGGTTCCATTATTTCTCTTAATGGCAGCTACAAGTTAAGCGGAACGGGTTCATCATTTAACAGAAGCACTATTTCAGATTGCCTCAAGTTCTTGCAGAATCAAAAGGTCAACTTCTGTCCTCCATCTCACACCATTTACTCATGAACTCATTAGGAAAAGAAAAACATATGCCTTGACTTTAAGCATGTCATGCGTTTGGCTGCAAGTGTAAACTTATGGGGGTATATAATACATGGGGAAAACCAACATTAGTTCCTATAAGAGATCCAACTGGATCAATATATCCTAGCCTTCATGAGTGTATGATATTTGCATTCTATTTCTGCATGCTACTAGCTAATTTACTGTAGTGGCCTTTTGGTAGTTCCCTATCATTTGTATGGCCTTTATATCTACAATGTACACCTTTCCCTTACTTTTTCCCTACTGAACTTTTTTTTGCTGTGTGGCTTATGGCGTTTGTGTCACTTATGCTTTGAACTTGTGGCCTATCTGATATATTATAGCCAAATTCGGCGACCTCAGTGCATTCTATTCTTCATCCACCAAGTCTAAGTCTCGCTTATATGCTTATTCTTAATATTATTAATCATTTGTTAGTTACCATTTCATGGTCCATAAGACAATATACATGCATAATACTATTTAAATATGGGTTTTCTCATTGTTTCCTTCTCTTTAAATAAGCGACTAACTTACACTTGAAAGTAGTCAAAAGTACAAGGAAGAAACTAATTCTGTGAAATGCTAATTCCAGGTGAAATAATAAAAGTCAGAAGAAACAAGGCCTGGGAGGGAAGGATCTGTCAAAATATATTATCATTAAGGATGCAACATAACTAAGTTAGGTGAGGTGGTATTACAGTTTTCGATCATCTTGCACCGTTCGATTGAATTATCAATTTATATAAACTCTATAACGCAGTTCATGGCTTTGAGTTTCAGTTATGGGTGAGTGCGTGATTGCTGAGCTAGGATTTAGTATTTATCCAGATTGTATCATTTTATTGGTCAGTGATAATCTATTTCATGGCCACTGTAAACTCCATAACTTGATAAGCATTTTCCTTTGGTATGAAGATTGATTGTGCATATATACCATAGAAGCCACTGTTAACGTGTGTGATAAGTATAAGTTAGTTTGCTGATTCACATTTTGTGGCATTTCAATCTATTGCTTGAGAAGAACTGAAGAAGTCAAACTAGATTGGCTTCTGTGCCCGAGACTTTGCTATTGAGTATTGCTGTCAAAATCCTTTTACAGGGTTTGGGGGAGGATATCCCTTCTAAATCAATCTTGTACTTGCAAACATGTATGATTTCTAGAGGCATTATGAAGTTTGGAAGTAGTACAGGTGGATTACGATTGGATAAAATGTGCGGCTTCCTCGGTTAGTTGTTCTACAGCCTTAGTGCGATTTTCATCAACAATATCCAGCAAATGAAATGCCAACCTGGTATTCTGGACATTTTGCAACATACTAATTGTTATTTGCTTCGTCATTTTACCTATTACCTATGGGTATTGGCTTTGGCAAAGTGTTTTAGTTATCGTAATTATTCGTGGAATGGGTGCTGTTGACAATTTAGTAATGTCAATGTTCAAACTTCAAACCTTATTTCATGAATTATATAATTACTTTTTTTGGGAAAATTGCAAGTTTGGTCACTGATTTAACTAAAAAGTATCATATTTAGTCACTCGAAATATTTAATTCCAATGCTGGACACTCGAATTAGTAAAACAATTCAGGTTTAGTCACTCTCAGAGTCTCAGTTAGTCTCCGTTAAGACGATCAGTTAATTGTTTATGTGGTTAACAATGTTGACTTACCCTGTTCTAATTTGTCACATTACAAAATCCGACCCGCCACGTCACTCAGCCCGCCACCTCAGTTTCTAAAAAAAATAGTTTTGGGATTTTTTCATTAGATGAGTTTTTACCTCACTCACAGTCGGCAGGTGAGAGTCGACCCAACCCCACACCTCTTCTCCTTCCTCCTCGTGAATCATACACTAGAAATCAACAATCTTAGATACGTTTGACTGTTGAGGCTCGGCGGACGCTCCAATCCTAAATCCAGATTAATAGAGGTTGATCAGTGGGCGAGGCGACCGTGTGCTTCGTCTTCTCCTTCCTCCTTGCGAACCTTAAAAATCAACAATGGCTCCAGTCGATTGCCAAGGCTCGCCGCCGACCGCTCCATTTATATTCCCAAAACCACAGTAGAAGATCAGCGGGCGAGGCAACCGTTCTTTCCCTCATCTCTAATTTGAGCTGCAACCAATTCCATCTTCTTCCTCTTCTCAAAATCGAGCATTCCAAATCCAGAGAAGCATGACAGATTGGGCGCTCCAATCCCACTCCAAGACGGTCGGCTCTGGGTTCCGTTTCTTTTGCAATCCAAGATCTGGGTTCAGTTTCTCGAAGCTCAGGGCCCACAAGAAGAGCAAGCCGGACTTTCCTATTTAGGGAGAAGATGGAGAGAATGGCGTAGCCGACTTCTTATTTTCTGCATCTTCGATGATCGGGGGGTAATAGGGAGGAGAAGATTGAGAGGCGACTGTGGAGGAGGAAGGAGTGAGAATATTGATTGTGGGGAGAGAGAGAGAGGAGAGGAAGAGGAGGAATTGGCAGCGGTGGCCGAATAAGTAGTCGGAGTAATAATAGTGGTGGCAGGAGTTGGGTCTCTGATGAAGCCTATTTAGCTGCTGCGATGTTTTTTTCTTTGGGCCGTTGGCGTTTGTTGGTGGAAAAGAAGGAGAGAAGCGGAACGAGACGATCGCGGAATCAAGACTGACGGTGAGGAATCGGCCCACGTCTGGTCACGTACGGGTTTGGGAAGGCTTGGTTTATGGGTTGGGTTGGGGTAATTGAGGTGTCGGGTTCAATGATGTGGCAGGTCGATTTAGTGATGTGGCGGGTTAAAATAAGATGAGTCGGCACTTTTTTTAGCCACATCAGCAATTGACTAACTGTGTACACGGAGACTAACGGAGAGTGATTAAACATGAACCATTTTACTAATTGGAGTGACTAATAGTGAAATTAAATATTTCGAGTGACTAAACATGATACTTTTTGGTAAACTCGGTGACCAAACTTGCAATTTACCCTTACTTTTTAGACTTCTTAAAGTCAATGTTGCTTCTAAATAGTTATGCCGACTCAAAGAATTGCAAAATTCCAAGAAAACTGTTGTGCTATATGAATTTATTCGTGTGTCCCGCCATATTTAGAGCTACTGGGAATGATTATTGATTAAGCTACATTCGGCCAACGGGCCGGGTTACAAGCTAGTTACCATATATAAAAAAATTGAAGTAGAATAAATGGATAAAGTTTTGAAGAGTTATGATCTCTCTAGATCACAGATCCAACGAAAACACAAAGTAGCATCCATAATCTAGCAAATCACAAGCAATATCTTAACTTATATTATGGCCGTTGTGGAGCAAGTTTCTGCCACGTAAGACAACGAAAGCTCCACAATTTTTCATGTTATTTTGTCATTTTGTCAGTTTTAACATTTTAAGTTATTAGTTACATTAAAATAAAACTAAATAAACATGCATATCAATCACCATCACCAAGATTTGAACATATGACTTATGAGGTCAAACTATCATCATTTCAAATGTTCAACCACTAGGATAAAGTATATTTGATGCTATCAACCACAACAAACATGTATATCGATCATCATAACTATGATTTAATCATGCAATAATCATTTCAATTTTTAACCAATAGAATAAAATATCTTTCATACAATTAATCACAACTATTTTTTAACCAATAGAATAGCTATCATGGTTACAATTGTGTATTCTATTTTTTAGCATTGATAAAAAAATCATTAACATCTACAAATAAATTATTTTTAGTTTATAATATATTTCATAATTGTTTATAATTTCTTAAAAATAATTAAAAAACCCGGAAAAAAATAAATTTAGTTGGTACATAATTATAAAGTTTTACATAATTTGACATGTGATTTTCTTTTAAAATTTAAAAATGAAAAGTAAAGTATAATCTTCTTCCGCTTTCTAGAACACGAAGAATTTAACATTTTGTTTGTACGAACTACTATAAATATGTGAAGCAATGTAGTTATGTTGCAATTTGTTAGAAAATACTTACTATAAATATCTAAAATATATCAACATAGTTCATTCATATACTACAGTGATATATACACAAAATTTCATGTGTTTAAGAATATCACTAGACACCAATGGTCACCAAATTTTTTTTATATTTTTCAAAACCGAATTATGGTCATATGGTTTAAATATGTTTGTGAACAATTGGTGAAAGACGTTATAAAAAAAGTCATTTACATATACATAATGCAAATGTCATTTTTAGGATTGAATTTGACATTTCTTGCATATTAAAATGATATCATTATATTTTCTTTTATGTTATTCCAACTTCTTTCTCTTTTCATTTTTCGTACGTCATTAAATATTTTTCCATGCACAATTATAAAACACATTGTCTTTACTTTTTTCCAAATGTAATTATAATTCCTTTCTTTTCTCTTTTTATTGTTTAACATAAGTTCCTTTCATTTTCCTATATGAGTGCAGATGTGCAACTTGAAGTCATATTCAGATGAATAACATCTAAGTCAGGCAAGATTTGTAAACGAATCTTAAACTATTGGATATATGATGGTTGAATGTAAATAACTATTTTAATCATTACTTAATGTGACACCCTAATACATATATTACTATTACTATTTTTAGTAACCAGTTATACTCTCCGGATAACTTTACTCATAAGATAATGATTTATATATTTTCCGTTACTTTTAAGAGTATAGTTCAAAATGACTTATTGTCCCTCTCATTGACCATGGCAAAACATGGAGTATTCAGTTTCCCGTCACCCACTTCTCAAGTCTTACTGGCTTAACTTAACTATAAAGAGACATCTGATATGATATATCTTATTTAGTCAAATAAACATCCATTCATCACCACATGTCATATCACATTCATCATCTCAAACTCAAAAAATTCATACTTCACAACATAAGGACCATCACCCAGTCTCTTAATAACTCATTGTTTAAACATGCATGCATCAAATATCACATCATACTGGCATTACCATGTAACCCCTGTCCCAACACAACAAAACATCATATCATCCAATCTTAAATCATTGTATAAAACACCATAGAAATCCATCATCATTGACATTCACATTTCATATATCACATCATAGAAAGTAATCACTTAACCACATCATAAGTAATATTTATACAATGATTCAATCACATGCATGGTTAGGTTCATTGCATTTTACATCTTAATTTGCCAAGTCATACACTCCTCGGGTAGTATAGTAGATGACATGCATACCACCACAGATCGTACCTAGACTGGTGTCCTATAAATCCAATGCAGATCATATCCTAACCGATGTCATGTATACTAGGGTGGGATGTACCCGGACCGGTGTCCTGTAAAACCAACGCAAGATCATATCAGATGTCCTGTAAATTCAGTTACTATACTGACTGCACAACAGAGCACCTTTATGTTTGTATTAAGTTATCATACAATTCCAGTTACAGTTAGTCACATATTAAATATGGGAGGATAATGTTAAGTGAAGACAAAGTGTCTCCATAACTAACATTTGCTTTGATATAATTCGTACAATGTTGAAGGTAAGAAGCATATCAGAATAGTTTGGTTGTACTTTGATATAATGGTGGAAAAGGCTAGCATACACTTGAGGTGTAATATGCACCTTCATTCATACCTATTAGTTGTATGTTAATATATTTTGACGAATAAGAATCGGTGGTTATTATTTTTCATTAAATGAATCGTACGATTTGGATTAGAGAATTAAAGATTGTGTTTCACCTATTAGAGAATATGGTATAACATCATGTGCCAAACTCCGTTAATTCATGGTCTAAATACCAACTCTATAGGAGTACGGTAAGGTGGCGTACACGAGGTTAAACCATGTACAACTTATGAAGTTGACAATTGTTGGTCAATGAAATATCCGATGGTCATGAATAATATTTTCCAAGCAGTGATGAAGTTACAACGTTGTTTGACTTTATTGTTGATCATCATTAAAACCTAGAGTACAATCATAAATAAATATAAACAGTAGGAATTTGATATCTTTGGAAAAAATGACAAATAATAGAAGGAAAAGTACAAACAAATGAACTCGCCGCCCATCGGGCGGGCACAAAACTAGTAAGTGATTTATAATCATTGATAACCATTGTCTAGCAAGAATCGCATGCAGTAGCAGTGATTCATAGAAGCCAAAGTAAGCAATTTTTATTTTCATTACACAAAGATGCATTTCTTATTACCTATCTTAGGCAGAAGCAACAACCATGCATTTCTAGCTTTAAATGAAATACAACCAAACCTCTATGTATCATCACAAGCACATACACAGAAAGTCTCTTTTTTTTTTTTTTTTATAAATTCACAATCGATGTTTTGGGTTTGAAACTCATCAGATCTGCAACTTGGTAAAAATCACATTTCTTTTCCAATTTTTACCCTTCAACCACACTAAGCCAAGTTCAGAAAAATCCCATCTAGACCAAGATCCAAGTTTCCACGAAAATCACTACTACACATAGCTAATTCCATATACACCCCAAAATCCCAGTTTTTTTTAGCAAAGAACAGGCAATCCCAAATTGTTAAATCTAACCATAAATTTTTTTGCTAAATCTCTCCAAACTCAGCCATAAGTTTCCAAACCCAGATCTGTTAGTTATCCTACAAATCATATAATCTTTTTTTAGTTCAAATTCCCTAATCACACTAACTTAGTTTAGGAGATCCTTACCCAAACCTACCCACTTCTCTCATCCTGCCGAAACAAAAAAGTAGAAGGTCAGTACCGACCCAAATCTAAATAAACAGAAATAAAAAGAAAAACCAAACTCACCGGTCCTCTTATCCTGTTGCCGGCGGTTCTCGCCGATAGCAAGACCATTTTTCGCCTATGGCACCCACATTTCATCTCCTCCCTCGATAGAAAACCAAAAGCAACCCAAAAAAAATCAAAACAAGGTCAGAAACTTGGCTACTCCAAAAACCCAGAAATCGAAACATGCAATCCGTGAGACTTGCCTAGGATTCGTCCACCATCGCCGAGGGATCTGTCCTCCGCCTCCGCTGTGCTTTCTTCTCGATCATCGTCGTCTGCCGGTGGTGGTGATTTATTTCTCTTCTTTCTGCCAATCCAGATCCAAGCCCCCAAACAAAACAAAAAATAACAAAACAAAAAAAACATCAGAAATCCGAGTATTTCTGAAAATCGAACAGAATTGCACACGCAAAGCGAAACCTTACCCAGATCTAGTCGTCGCCGGCGGTGCCACCTTCCATAGTCGGAGGCGCCTTCCTTCCTCTATTTCCTCGTCGAAACCCATTCCAGCCGGCGGCGAGGTTGCCATCCCCGCCGACGAGGTTTGAGTGTCGTCGATCTCCCTCTCTCCTTGTTCGAAACCAAGCCCAAAGTTACAAACAAAATTAAATTTTGGAAACCAAAACTTCTTAAAATTACCAAAAATGAATCGAAAAGACCATGCATGTCTCACTCTTACCTGGATCGAAACCATCTCTGTTGATTTAGTACGAAACGAGCGGCCTCCTTAGCTAGCCGAGAGCACAGAGAACAGAGTAGAGAATCGAGAGAGGGAGAGGGCGATTGTTTTCCTTTTTTTTTTTTTTTGTGGTTTTCGGATTCCTCTAGAGGAAACGAGAAGAGAGAGGCGAGGCGATAAGAACAACGTCTAGGGTTTTAGGCCTTTTCTGGAAGAGAAGAGGTAGCAGAAGGAAAGAACTAGAGAAAGAAGCGAGAGAGTAGAGAGCGACGACCGATTAGGGTAGACTTGATTAGGGCTCTGCTTTTCGTCTTAAGAGAGGTATTTATACCAATTCTGTTAAAATGACTAGATTGTCCTTAGGGTATGATTAAAATTACGACTCCCTGCCACCGTGTTTTTAGGTCATTTACTAAAATACCCCGATCTTCTCTGTTTTATAAAAACGTCAAACAGAGACCATATAAAATCTTAGCCAAGTTTCGAACCCGGATCACAGTGTACACAGATGCTTAGAAATCAACATTTTAATCAGTTGGGTTGCAAGAAGGTGCAGATGAAGTGAATCAGAAGCATCGACTGTGAGGGAATTGAATGCACAGTGAATCACTAGTAGTAGGAAGATGCCCACGGTTATAAAGTGAAAAGGAAAAAGAAGTGAGCAAATCAGCTCTTAGCAAGAATCGGGCTTCATTTCGTTCATACCAAGCCCGCTAGAAAGGGCTTAAACTTAGAGCATTTCATAAGGGCATGACCGTAGTCGAGTAATCATTTAAAGGCGGCATCATCAGGCAATAATTAATTGATTCTAATAAACTTTATTCTTTTAATATTCTAAATATGAATTTTGAATACAAAAGTTTCCCTAAGATAGTTTAAATCCATTATTTTATAACACGTCAAATCTATTCTTAATAACTAAATTCCTTATATTTTTTTGTCATAACCTCATAACAACCTAATTTTATAATAAGAATTCTTGACACGAGCACCATGATAAGTGGAACGTGGTATAAAGTTATATTCAAAACTATCAAAATTTCAACAAACTACGTGGACTTTGATCCCGTCTAATGGGTACGTAGGCAACCGATAAGGTTCGAGTCCAACTAACTAATCAATTATATCTTCAATTTTTACGTCAATGTGCATATAATTAAATTATAACTAATACAATTTAAATTCTTTAGTGGACCAGTAAGGCCCTAAAAATACCTAAAATACCTAATCATAAATAATACGTCAATGGGCGTTTAGTTAAATTATACCTAATGAAATAGCAATATAGTAGTGGTCCATTGGGATGTTTAAAAAAAATACATGATTACTAAAACACGCCCAACTAATATAAAACTTATCAACTTAAGTAGTACCGATTTAGGGCGTCGTGGGGGTGTTGCTTAACTTCCCCACATGTAACCGTACTCCCGAATCTAGATTTCTAATCCGCAGACCAAGCCTCGGTTCTGACCGTAAGGGTAGAGCCGACCGATGAGTGTTTAATCTACTCCAAGTAAGATCTATGGAGACTCCCAAAAAGCAAATGCGACTCCGGCCCCCCGGAGGGACGGTTGCAACACTATTATATCCTTGATTGTGTTTGGGTAAGTCGCTCTAATATTCTCTATTAGCCTACTTTATGCTTCTACGTTGGATATGGAGTTCTAGGGTTAGGCAGGTATGCGCCATCAAGTAAATCAAGATAGATGTATGAATAGGGACCTATGGTGGTCGAGGCGACCGAACCCCTGCCGTAGGTTAACCTTTCTAGATATAACCCGAGATGAAACCTCACTGTGGATGGTGGATAGTGTCTATTGGAATGAGCCATGAGCTTAGTGCCCTAGATCCAATAGCCTAGATCGAGGTGACTATATATGAGTTTAGGGGAGGCGTACTCGGAGGCGTGTGGATAACCACGAAAGCCCACAGAAAAAAGCTCACTCAGCACATTCGATAACCCTATGTATTTATGCATGCATAGTAACCCTCAACTAGGGGGAGGATTAGTTCCACAAAGTAACTGCTTTTAGATTTGATCAATCTCTAATCTAGTTATCTCCTCAAGTCCTCCACTCAAACCTCGAAAACCGATTAACTAATTAGCAACTAGGTGGGAAGTAAACTAGGGTACCAGGACTTGAGTAAAATATGACATTGATCACCACTATAAGACAATTACATCTTAAGTTAAAATTGGTTTAGGATGGGGTAGTTGTTGACACGTGCTAACCATTGACAATAATATGCACGGATTGAACCGATCAATAATCCTTCATCTATAATGAGAGAGGGAGTATGAGATGCCGTTGTGACGGCTGATCAAGTGTGGGTGGGGAGGGACGCTAGAACAATGTAGTTTGCTGGTTATAGCATGAATGGCAACGAGGTATGTTCAGGGCGGATAGTGTCAAATTCGTGCCATGCACTATCCTTTAATTCCAGACATGCTTTGTCCCGTGATCCGCGACGGGTGGACAAATTTTGCCCCAAACATTGCACCGTGTGGGTTGGATAAAATCCTCCCCGTCCCATTTACTAGCTACACCCATTCATGACAATTTGGAGCTCGCCGACACGGCTGTGATGGCGGCCGCTACATTGCTCTATCACAAAAAATATGAACGTGTCAACCCAAATTAATTACCCTAGCTAGTGATAGCTGACGGAAAAGGCAGGGATTACCTAGTGGGTTAGTTGATGCCGTTGTTAGGCCTGTCGGTTCGGGTTACCGAACCCAAAAACCGGGAAAACCAGAAAACTCGAAACCGAGACTAAACAACTCGAAACCGAACCCGAACATCTACCTTGCGAGTTTCGGGTGCAGGAACCCGAAAATATGCTGGCGGTTTCGGTTTGGGTCGGGTGAACCCAAAACCAAACCGTTGTGGATTTTTGTTTACTTTTGTGATTTGAATTTTACATTCTTTTGCTTGTACAAACAATTTTATTCTTATTATTTGTACATTCTTATTAAACAATTATGTTTAATTTTATGGGACGTGGACAGTATAAAACTAATATTTATATATTAGTTTATTATTAAAATATTAATTAATTATTAATATATTTAATTTTATGTATTCTATAACTATTGACATACTATTAACTATTAAGGAGTATTACTAGTTTAGAGACAAAGTAAAATACTTATACATATTTTATACGTAATTTAATCATATCTTATTTTGTTATGTTAAGTAATACAACCTTTTGGGCCTTGTGGGTTTTCATATAATTAAATGTTTTAGTAATACCATAGGTCCAAAATTGAAGGTATATCAACTATCATATGCAAAAAAATGTTTGGTGTATGGCACAATGTTTTAGTAATAATTTTGTTCAACATAAAATCACCCACAATCATAGATGAGATTATCTTCAACTCGTAATTAAACACATTAATTTTACAATTCTCAAATGATAACATCAAAGTAAAATCAAAGTTCATCCACCATACAAGATAAACACTACTACCATTATCACTCCTCCTCATCAGGCTCTACATCCACATAAGTCTCATCATTCTCATCAGAATTGTCATCGAAATAGTCTTCTTTCACTTGTTACATAGCATGAGAGCTTCCCCTAGGTCCTGCACGAGAGCTTTCACTAGGTCCTGCAGGTGCACTTGCACTCCGAGCTTGAAAAGCTGCAAATACTGGATAACATAAACAATAACAACTTGTTAGAATATGACTTGAACAAGATAACAAATATAAGAATAAATAGAAAGATAGTCCTTACCATTTTGAAATACCACTTCATCACCCTCATCTTCTCCATCATCCACCAACTCGGAGTCTGAAGATCTTATCCAATCTTCACAACAAATCAAAGCCTCCACAACTTCAGGGGATAAGGAGGTCCTAAATGAATCTAAAACTCGACCTCCTGTGCTGAATGTCGATTCAGAAGCAACAGTGGAAATAGAAGCAGCAAGAATATCCCTAGCCATCTCAGAAATAGTAGGATATTTCATCCCACTTCGCAACCACCATCCCAAGATGTCAAATTTGTACTCATTCTCTTCTGAACCCACCAATGCTCGTGTAACCACTTCATCATCATCATCATCCTCCTCCTCCTCCTCCTCCTCCTCCTCAAGGTACCTATCAAACTCAGATTTGAAACTTTTTCTAGTTCCTTTCAGAATGGCCTCTCTTTTCATTTTCCTGAAATCACCCCAAATCTTCCTTTTCTTCTTCCCATCCCCACTTTCACTAGGTTATTGCTCATCTTCCTGAATCACAATGGGAGAACCACCATGAAGTCTGAGCCTATGCTTGTAATGGTCAAACAAAAGATGCATTTCATCTTTCACCTCTTCGACCAAAGCTTTGCCCCTACTCTCACCATATACCTTCTTCAAAGCTTGTTCAAGATATTCAACTTTCCGCCTAGGATCTAATATGACTGCCATATAACACAACCGATTCATTTTGGAATTCTCCAACTCATCTTCAAACCAATACTTGGCAAGTTTGGACTTGGTTCTCTCAGCCATGCAAGACACCTCAAAATCTATACCATCAGCCCACTCAGATATCATAGTATACATTTCACAGATCTCATCAAACAAGAGGTGTAAAGTCACATATGAAGTCCCAGAAACTCGAACAGTCAAATCATAGAAGAGCTTCAGGTAATCAATCAACTGTCCCACACTAGACCAATCATCAGAAGTTGTGATACCAAGGCTTTCCTTTCCATATTTTTTTTTTCATTGAGATGTTTCTTGAATTTCTTATCATTTCTAGCTAATGTCTGAAATGCTTTCTCAAATGGCTTTGCAGATTCCAACATCAGATACGTTGAGTTCCACCTTGTAGCTACATCCAACGAAACAAATTTCTTCGACACTTTATTTCAAACTCAATGCAATCTTTGAATTTTCTGCTCATAGTTGGTGTAGATTTAACCCACTTCATAGATTCTCTCACTCTCTCCAAAGATTTACCATTTTCTTTAAGCCCATCCTTCACAGCCAAATTAATAATGTGAGCCACACACCTCATTTGCAGATACTTGCCATCGAAAATATCTGATCCCCATTCTTTCAACTGTTCCCTCATATGGATAGCAACCACATCATTGACACTAGCATTGTCCATTGTTATACAAAACACCTTCCTAATGCCCCACTCCACCAAACAACTAGCCAACTGTTTTCCAATTTCACTTCCAGAATGTTTTGTAACTTGAAAAAGTTAATAATTCTTTTATGCAATTTCCAATCTCTACCAATGAAATGAGCAGTAATGCACATATAATTGAGATTGGACAAAGAAGTCCAAGGATCAGTGGTGAGCGATACCATTCCTAAACACTTAGTCTTGAAATAGTCCTTCAGCAACTCTCTATTTTCAAAGAACACCTCGATACAATCCTCTCTAACGGTCTGACGGCTAGGTAAAACAAACATTGGACAAACACGAGCCATAAACCGTTTGAACCCTTCATGTTCAACATACATAAATGGTAATTCATCTATGACAATCATCTCCGCTAAAGCTCTCCTAGCACCAATCTGATCGAATTTCCAAGTGCCAAGAGTGTGTACCTGGGCTCCAGAAGATGATAGATGGTTGACTATCATCTCACCCTTTTCTATCTTTTCCAAACAACTATCTTTATGATTCCGCAGAGTAGAAGTCCCATATCTAGTGGGAGCAATAAAGACACCATTGCAATAAATGCATCTTGCTTTGTCCACTCCATCCTTCTTAAACGCTTGAAGTGTGGCCAAATGTAAGATTTTTTTTTTAAAGTTGTCCCCTCATCTGTTGTTTAGTAAGAGGTAAATTGGTGGTACCAGTAGACGGTGTAGGAGCAGGAGTAGGATTGGATGATGGTGCAGGAGGTATAGGAGGAATGTCGGTACTCTTAGAGCGCCCTCCACGTTTAGGACGAGAAGCCGATGGTGCCTCACTCTCTCTGCCAAATATAATAAAGTAATTAGCCAAAGTGCAATAGTGTAAACACTAAACAGGAATCCCGATGCACGTAATTCTTAAAAGTTCCCTAGTTAAAATATACCTATATTTTTTTGTGGTTGGTTATCATGAGTTAAAAAAAATTAACACAGTAAAATCTTCTGTAATATCATCCATTACAAAAAAACAAAAGAAAGACCTTACTTTGCAGCCTATAATTAGTTAATTAATTTGTCAATCTATATATGTTTTTCTTCTGTCCTCAAAAGAGCTAGAAAAAATGAATAACAACTCAACAAGCAACCTGTTTCATTCATTCATTCATTCATTCATTCATTCATTCATTCATCATCAAAGCAAGCAAGCAGTTAGTCTCATTCAAAGTCTTCACTCTCACATTAGATTATTAGCTCTCTTTATCACCCCCAAGGCCACAATATAAATAAACCCCATCCCTCCCCCCTCATGTTTCCTTCCACAAATCAGTTTCCCAGAAACCAAACACTCTCTTAACTCCTTACTGGGTTTCCACCAACAGCTGCCCCTATAACTTACTGTTCTTTGGTTTCAATGATCTCTTACTAAACTTACTCCACTGTTCATAACTCTGAACATCAGAACATCCACTCAAGAATCCCAAATTGGACCGAATGCAGGAATCAACTAAAGGATATTCCAATGCTATTACTAAAAGGAAATCGCCCCACTAACCAAATCAATTAAGCAGAAGAACAGGATGCAGAACATGATGTAGTAGAAAGATTAAGTACATAACAGTTCTAATCCAATAATAGATAGATTAACTCAATCATTGAAACACAATGAAACTTGACAACTACCAACAAGACAAACGATTGCATTACCACAACTCACAACCACCAGCTATGCAATATCCATTAATCTATCCAATTGCAAAATTAACAAAAACTCTGGAGACACTTTCTCTTAAAGGAAACAAACCCATTTCTTCTAGCCATCCTTGAGATCAATCCCAAAGCCATAACAGGATCTACATAAGCATTAAGCACTAGAAACGACAATATGGGATGAATATGACTTACTGGGATGCCATAGGTCTCAGTTCTGACTCTGGTTTACCGATGAAAAGACTGCGGGAAGCAATTTGAGAAGAAGAAAATCAAACGCAGATGGGTAGCTGCCTTGCTAGGCAAATCGACAATTTCAAGGTCTCGAACCCAGATGGCGGCTACAGAAACCTAATTGAAGCCTCGAACCCAAATGGATTGCTGCATTGCTGGGAGGCGGAGGGAAGGAGAATCGGGAGATGACGAAAATGTAGGCGAGGGAGAGGACGGCGAAGGCGATGTCGGAGATCCCCTCGAGGCCGTTGGCAGCGAGGACGTTGATGGCGGCGAGAAGTTGAACTGGTAAAGGTGAGAAGGGAGGCTCTGTTTCGACGAAGCCTCGAGCAGTCGAGCAAGAAGTGATTCTCCTCTGTCGCAAATTCACATGGAGATACTCGAACCCTAGAGGTCCACTTATCCAAAAAAACATCACCGTTTACTCCAATCACAACTTTCGGGTTTTTCAGGTTTTTATCGATTTTCGAGTTACATCAAAACCGAAACTGCTGCCTGTTGCTTCGGTTTGGAACCGAAAACCAAAACCCGACGCCATTGTTCTCGGTTTCGGTTTTGTTTAACCTAAAAAACCGAAACCGATTGGACAGGCCTAGCCACTGTTGTTGACTTACCCCAAGTTGAAAGTCTGCCCCTCCTCCTGACGCATCTCCAATCTTCTCATCAGTGAAGTCAACCACCATTGCATCATTGGAGTCTGCAGAGAAATTAGTGGTTGGGTTTTGCAAAGGGGCAAGTGGAATTAAATTTGGAGAGGAAGATGAATTGATAAAAGCTAGTATTGAGTTTTGAAGAGACGTTTCTCCCCTGATTTGACAGGGTTGATGGGAATTAGTTAGGTGATTTTGTATTAGGCACAAAATGAGTAATTGGGAATGGGGGAGGAAGATGAATTGAAAAAGGCATAAGGGTTGGGACTTGGGATGGTGGGATTGGGTTTTGTAACGGATGGTGGGATTAGGTTTTGTGGAGAGTAACTTCTCTCTGAGAAGATCAATCGTTAGCTAAGCTTGGTCTCTCTTCGGCTTCACAACCCACAGGGGATTAGTCCACGGGGCAGAGTGGGCGGACCAGAGCGAAGCGGGTTAGAAGTCAGAATCCATATCCGTCATGTTTCAACAACAGAGCGGGTCAAGATCTGCCTTGTTCTAATACATGCCGGATTTTATTCGTCCCATTACAGGTCAGATCGGGAAAAATCTACCCGAGCGGATCCGAATTGTTATTCCTAGGTTATAGATTGGAATTTGGAACATATTGTTTGGGAGAGTCTCGATCTCAATTTACAACTGTGACTGGTCTATCTGTGAGTAGGAGTGCACTATGGGGCTGGAAGGATTGACTGGTAGTGGCTTGTGTCACTTGGTTGGGCGCTCGACCGTTTTCAGGATTGACTGACACAAACTGAGTTCTTTTAGGCTCATTCCGAACCGAACTCTGAATTCTGGTTGTGTTACTATCAAATTCATAGCCACACAACTCCATAATTTGCTTCAGTTGGTTTCAAGTGCGGTTCAATTCGGTTCAAGCTTATTGAACACATGTCCACCCCTATTGGCGATTTCTTGTGGGAAGCTGAACTTTTTCCTCCTCTCCTCCATGAGGAATTTTGTCTACTCTCGAACCACCATCGTGGAAAGCTGAGGTGGTACTCCCAACAAATGACATTTTTCCATGTGTCAATGTATTTAATTATTTTTTTTCTTAACAATTACCTTAAATGAAATTAACTAATCCATATCTCTCCTGCTACTTCATTCAAAAATCCTAATATGCAGACTACAATATTTCGGCAAGTCGTTGAAAGCAATATTGCATTGACTTGTCTCATCCTCCATGGTACTCTTATTCTCTGTGACAATAATGGATCCAGCCGACACGAATTCGGAAGCCATCAATTTTTAGTTCATGGTGAACTGAGAGATTTTTTTGTTTCTCAGCTGAAATTTTCTCGATCAACCTTCTCCAACCTGAATTTTTCTCTGATACTATTTTTTATTCTGGATTTAAATTACATAGCTGCAAATTTTTCCTGGAGTTTTATCTTTCAAGGTCAATCTAGAGAGATACATACAAGTATACAACTCATGCAATCCAAATAAGAAATACGTTCTTCACATTCAAATAAGAGAAATAAACAAGAGATACAATCTCCATGAATTTTAAATTCAAAAATATGAAGAAGCGATAAATAAGTTCTACTCCAAACCAAAAAAAGGAAAGAGAATGAAGGGTGAACATGAATCGTTAAAAACTAATAAACAAAAAAACTAAAAACAAAACTAATTTGTACTTTCCATCTACGTGTTGAAAGATTATTTATTGGGAGTACCACTTCAGCTTTCCAACATCATAGTCCGGGAGTATACAATAATTCCTCCTCCTCCGTGTGACCCGTTTTTATGTTTTCTTTGACAAGCGAAGTTGGCGGGGAAGCCTTAAGAATTTAAATTGAAAAGGTAAACCCGTATAGGAGACATCTGCGGTCTTCAAGACTTCTCCTTCCTTCATTCTTTATCCCTACTTCTGCTCCCGCCCATTTACAATACCATCTATTAAGTCCCCATTACTTACATTACCATCCAGACACTCTTCAGATTGCTCCCCCTGACTGAAACAAACTTAATCAATCAATCAAAGGAAACTAACAATATGTCTTCAGAAGCAAATAAAATGGAGGCAAACATATTGACACCGACTCAGAAATACGCAGGGGCGGCTCTGTTCGCTTTGGCACTTCACCAGTCACAAAACCACCAGACCAATCCTTCCAACCCTCTCCTCTCTCTCGACCTCGAGCCAGTGGGCCAAGCCGACGTCACCACCACCAAGACTTCTACCTCCGTCTCCGAAAAGCCCCAATTGTGGATCCATCAGGAATCCGGCTTGCTCCTCCCCATTTTCAGGTGACATGATGGATGAATGAATGAATGAATTATCGATCAAATTGATATTTTACCACCGGAGATCGATTTCTTTTCTGGTACAACTTTCATAATCCATATGATAACTTCTACTACTACAGCTTCCTGGGAGTAGAGCTTGAGGCATGGGATGGGCTGAAGGAAACCGCCGGCACTTCTACCCAATTGAGGCATCATATTGGATCGGTTAGACCAGATTTCCATTTCTTTTCATCCCCTGTTTTTTGTTTTCCTCTAAATAGAGCTTCTCAATCAAACCCTTCTCTTTTCTTTCCGATTTAACAGTACATGAAATTGTTGTCGGAGGATAGGGATGGGTCAATGGAGAGGCTGGGAAAGGAACAAGCCTTGACCAAGAACGTTGACGCCACTGTGCAAGCCATGGACAAGTCCCCTGCCTCTGCCGGGGATATGAGTAAAATAAAATTTCCCCAACTATTTTTTTTACCCCCCACAGTAAAAAATTTCTCATTCTTCATCATAGCCGATGGAAATCCATTCATCGTGTGCAGAGACTCAGCAAAGCAACATCTCGCCACTGGGCGTGACGGCGGCCGGGCCGGCAAATGCGCTGGTGAAGACAGGCGTCGTGGGGGCCGAGATGGCAATGGACGAGGTGAAAGTAGTGAGCTACCAAAGGAAAGTTACCGTCCTCTATGAGCTACTCTCGGCTTGCCTTGCTGATAAGGTGAAAGAGAACAGTAAATTCTTCAAACAGAGGGAAGGCTACGATGCTCGCCACAGGGTTGCTCTCAGGCTTTTGGCCTGCTGGCTTGCCATCAATTGGAATGAAATGGTAAACTGACCCACTTTCAGTTATTTTTTTTGCCCACGAGTAGTTTGGGCTTGGGCTTATGTTTGTTTTGGGCCTTGGTTTTTATGTAGGAAGCAATGGAGACAATGGTTTCAAGCTCCTTGATGGAGCTGCTGGCAAAGGCGAACGAAGGTGACAAGACCATCACGGAGGGCGCGTGGGAGAAAAGCAAGCGCGTGGGGATGGTCAGCGCCGCCGCTTTGACCGGTGGAGCGCTCATGGCCGTCACCGGCGGTATTTTTGTCATACCATATTACTAAACTAATTAGTGCTATCACATAACTAGTGAATTCAGGCAATATTAATCTATAATACGTGCAATAACTCGTCATACCACACTATTATCCTCCTATTATTTTCTTATTTTTGTTTTAGTCGCAACATAAACGTTAAATGGTGTGTAATGAAATAAATAAACACATAAAATTACCAACTTCCATGATTTTTCAAAACTACCAACATAATATATTTATGTTTTTCGTTTTCATGATTTTGTGGTTATATCTCTGTTGTCACAACAACACTACAATTAACCACACACTAAACGGGGGCTAATATTGCAGGCCTTGCTGCTCCCGCAATTGCACATGGAGTGGCTGCACTCGCCCCTGCCATTGGAGGTGCTCTTGCTAGCACTACAGGATCCGTTGCCGTTGCTGCTTCATTTGGAGGTAACTAGCTACCTAAGGTTTCACTTATACGATCAGTTCGTACTTCAAACACATACACATTGCAACAATCGACAACTTTGTAAGGCTAACAATAAACGATGATTGTTACATATGTGGCGCCATACAGCGGCTGGAATGAGCCTGACGGGGACCAAAATGGCAAAACGAGTTGGAGGGCTCGAGGAATTCGAGATTGAAGCACATGGAGACAGCGCCAATCAAGGCGTAATTCAGCTTCTTCATTTTCTTCAACATGTTCACTGTTCTAATGACTAGTGATTTTGAGTTTTGATAGTACATTTCATCTAATCATGGCAGCGCCTAGGAGTTGAGATCTTCATGAACGGGTACGTGCTCAACGAGAATGATTTCAAGAAGCCATTTGAAGGCATCAATGACAACATGGAGAGGTACTACTTTCGATAAATTTCGATGAAGAGAAGTTTTTGTTTACGTAAGGTTTCGATCGTGGCAAGAAACTAATAAGAATTTGAAGACGATGATGGAGCTAATGTTACTACTACCACGCATACTATAGGTACACCGTGCGGTGGGAGTCGAAGAACTTGATCGAGTTCAGCACTGCTGTAGAGGACTGGCTTTCTTCGAGTTAGTGCTTAAACCCTAAACCGAATCAAAATCTTCATTTAACATGTGCTTTGGGTTTTTTTTTTAATATTTACATTTTGCATGTTGTAGAGGTTGCAATGGAGATGATGAAACAAGGTGCAATGTTGACTGTGCTTAGCACCCTAGTCGTGGCACTAGCTCTGCCGGCAGCCATGCTCGGAGCTACTGAGCTCATCGACACAAAATGGGCAGTCGCTACTGATAGGTTCGAAATGAAGCTAGCTAGAATGCTTATGACGAGTAATGTAGTCAAAATCGCGTTTTAAACTTAAAAAAAAAATTACGTTTTACATTTCTAGGTCACCAAAACGCTTGTACGTAGAATCACGCTTTTCACTTACAAGTGTAGTCAGAATCTACACTTACTTTTTTATGCTTCTAGATCACCAAAATGCTTCTACGTAGAATCACGATTTTGACTGCATTGGTTACGACAACTCCAAAATCTGTTAGCTTGACGTTAACAATATCATATCACCAATCTTACAATTTTCTTGTTATTTTCAGAGCTGATAAAGCAGGACTGATGCTTGCTGAGGTGTTGCTGAATGGAATGCACGGCAACAGGTAATTAGAAATTAATTTTTTAATTAATTACGATTCTAACTAGATGGAAAAGTTGATCAATATATAGTAATTCATTAGTGAAGAAGTGCATCTTCTTAAATCTCCAGGCCTGTTACACTGATCGGCAACTCGCTTGGAGCTCGATCTATCTTCAAGTGCCTGCAACATCTCGCTACCTCACCCGGTGACAATGGTAGGAATATTAATCCTTCTGGATTTGCCTTAATTAACCAGCAAAGTTCCTCAGTAATTCAAAAAATATAGCAAGCTTATCGGATTAGTTCTGATTAATAGTAATTGTAATGACAAAAAATTCTGCAGGTGGATTGGTGGAAAGGGTGGTCCTTCTTGGTGCACCGGTTGCAATCCAAGGCGAAAAATGGGAACTTGCCAGAAAGGTACGTACAAGATTAAAAGCTTAACAAATCATTTTCCAACGATTCGAGTTATTGGGATCAAATGATTAGTTCGCTAAAAAAATTATGATAGTAATTCTCTGTTGGGTTTTATGGGAATTAGATGGTGGCTGGGAGGTTTGTGAATGTGTACTCAACAAATGACTGGACGCTAGGGGTTACATTCCGGGCCAGTCTGGTTTCCACAGGGTTGGCTGGGATTCAACCTGTTGAAGTTCCTGGAATTGAGAATGTAAGTAATTCTATGAACATTACTATGAACTAGAAAATCATTCATGTTTGGAAAGGGTAAGGCGTGTTAGTTTAGTTATTAGTTGTGCGTGTTGCGGTTGATACCATACGCGATTTGGCCTTTGCTACCGAGTGCATCCAACGATCGAGAGGTCGTAGAAAGCGAAACATTCATTAATTGTGTGAATTTGTACCAATGTTTGTGTTTGCAGATCGATGTAACGGAGTTGATTCAGGGACACACCATGTACTTGGCGAAGACGAGGGAGATCCTGCAGCAGGTTGAGCTGGAGAGTTGCTACTCTGTTGCCAACAAAACCTGCTCCAAGGCCAAAACCAGCTAAACAAATAAATCTTCGTTCTAAGTGGTTGAGTACTTGATGTATACTTACAGTCCAAGAGTTTTCTATTTTGACATTTTCTTTGAGTAAATAAAAATAACCTATTGTGTGGTGGGGAGGGTTTTTTGGCCCATTTTTTTGGGGTTAATCAATGGGTAGTAGCTAGGTGAGGTAAAAGTGGGAGCAGAAAGATATGTTAATATGTTTTTCTACTTTCTACCATCTTTTAAGCAATAAATGATATGCTTTAGACTTGTTGGAAAAGCCACTTTCATGGCTACTTGATTATTAATTATTATCATTGTGTGTTTTCTCTCAAGCAATTATGCCCCAAGCCCCCAAGAAAGGGCAAGAGAAATGGGTAATTCCAAATCATATATAGTACATTTCAATTCCATGTTTCTATTCAGTTGGATCGGACTGATCATATAAATAACAACTATTTATGTTATTTTTAGTAACAAATTTGTAGTGTTTATTTACCCTCTTTATACGGCTTACATTGTAGTCTAGAATCTAGATTGTGAATTTAATTACCGGGCTCTATTTCTTATCACTTCTAAAGCTATGCATAGCCTTACTCTTCGCCCTTCTTCCATGAGAGTAGGTATACTAGAAGCCAAGAAGCTTGTGAATACATTAAACCAACCAGAGAGGGGAAACCCAAACTTAGGTGACCAAACAAGTCTCTTTTCGCCAATGTAGTGGGGACCATTATGGGCGAGAGAAGGATACGGGAGGAAGGAAATCAGGTAAACACGAGGGACTTTCGATCTATAAAGTGAAGCTCACCCGCCACAAAAGTTCAAATTATCATAAAATTTAGATTTATAACATACACATAAATATTATGTTGTCTTCATATCGTTTAAGATCGTTGTTATGAAATTAGCTCCGAGCTTCTTTAGAATTAAAGAATAATAAAGTCGAACGAACATCAACCACAGCTACATGTATGTGCCTTGAAGGAGAAGGCACAACAAATGCCTCCCCTGAACTGGAAGCATGCCAGGCATGGCGGCCAGCCATTCTCCATTGAAAATAATATTTTCCCCCTCAGTTTTCTTTTGGTCCTGGCTATGGCTAGCAAGCAAATGATGATGATGATGGCAACCAACATATAGTTGTAGGTATGATAAAATCGATTTTCATACCTTTACAAGTAGCAAAAAAAAATTTTTATAGCGTATTCAGTACCAACAAACAAACTTATACTAACTTCCTCTCTACCTAAGGATTTGGTCTCCTCAACAAATCATTCCCCCTCCTGCAACTCTTCCTGCTCACACTTTGCCTTCTCTCCCTCCCTCCCTCCCTCCAAAGTAACGTTCTTGGCAAGCAAAACACACCAGACCAGACCAGAGTGTTAACCGCCACCCAAAAGGACACCCTTCCCCACAGTTCAACCAAGTAATCCCTTGGATTGTTGAAGTTCTATAAGTTGTTTGATCAAGCATAGCTTGAAATTTGGAAATCTTTGTTTGTCAGTAACATCCATCCAACAAAACCACTTGTGCCTACTAATGGTAAGCAAACTTCGATTCAACCCACTCAAAATCGACTTTATAAGATAGTCGGGGATTCGTGATATAAAATTATCCAACTCATAACTCGTTTAGTCATGCCACCCTCATTATTGTAACTTTCTTTTCGGAAGGATCGTTTACTTAGCAACCCACTCGTACTATTTTATTTTGACTCACCATGTTTGTGACGGTATGTTTACATTTGGACCGAGGATAGCACCCTCGTCTATAACAATGGTTTGACATAATTTAGATTGTCACCTCCTCTATAAGGTAAACATATATAAGTCGCATTGATCGAAAAATAGAAAACTTATCGACTCGATTACCATCGGTATCCGATTTCACCCAACTCTAGTTTCTTGATTAGTTAATCCGTTATGAGATGTTGCTTATTTGGTACAGTGGTATGCAAGTTGCGAGCGTGGTGGTGGCCTGGTGGGGATCACAATGTGGATAAAGTGCGATCCAAGCCAAATTGATTGGCTCTCTCTGCCGACCTTTTTCCTCTGTTTTCCTATTTTTTCCTTCCAGTTGTATTTCTGACGAATGTGTTATGTATAAATAGCATCATAACGGAAAGACTGAAAGCAACAGAGCATCAATTCGACCATCTAAAACTGGTGAAGAAAACAGTGATCAGGATGATTACCCTTTGGTTGGTTCTGCTTATGGCCGCAATTGCGGCGATCAGCAGCACAAATGCAATCCCTGACGTGACGCCAGCTGCCAATTTGAACAGTCAGCCGTCGAAAATCAATTACACTGAAATCGCCGCCAAAAACAGGGGACGCGGCGGGAGCGGAGGCGGCGGCGGAGGAGGAGGGGGAGGTGGCGGAGGGAGCTTCGGATGGGGATGGGGCGGCGGCGGGGGTGGTTCAGGCGAGGGAGGAGGAGGGTATGGATGGGGTGGAGGTGGCGGTGGGTCGTATAAATGGGGGTGCGGCCGCGGCCCAGGCGGCGGTGGCGGCGGCGGAGGAGGCGGCGGTGGTCGAGGTAAGAGGGGGAAGTTTGGGAGGGGAGAGTTTAAGATGGGGGAATTTGCGCAGTGTAGTGAGAGAGGATCTAAGTGCAGGGGAATGAGGCTGGACTGTCCGCTTCACTGCGGCGGTCCTTGCTTCTACGATTGCCGGTTTATGTGCAAAGCCCATTGCCGCCACCGCCGGCGGTAGTTGTTGTCTGACAATTCTTCGCTCCATTTTTCCCGGATGTTCTGTTTTTTTCCTAGCTTGTTGTGTGTTTTGGGCTTGTGCTTCTGTTGTATTCTTTCCGATTGCTTCATTTTTTGGTTTTTGGTCGTGGAGTGTGAAATGTACTAGTGAATGAAAATGTTGCAATTTCACCATTGGAATTTGGCATACTATCCAAGCTTTTGTAGTTCAATTCATGTATGGCCTATTCTCCCTCTCATCTCTAACCTCCTGACTGACAGGCTGATACCCCATGGTTAGAGACGTGGGGTGTGGACGCAAATGTTTTATAGATTTCAGTCAAGGCCGTTAATGGTGATTTCATCTATGATCATGAGAAGATTGTGCAAAATTTGAGCGCATCTCATAGTTGCGACCAGATTTCATTCTTTCATAAAATTCAGTACAACAACTGATACGTGTAATTGAGTAGTACAATAACGAATACGTATATTGAGTAGCTCAATTTAACGATCATGACAATCTCTTCTACAACTTAATCCAAATATTCGATCTACTAGGAGAGTTTTTGAAATTCGGTCCATATAACAATAGCTTCAACCAAGAGTCCAAGAGCAAGGGTCTCTTAAGAAAACCCCAAATCCATGCACAAATTAGAGAGTTAAACCTAAAATATCAATTAGAATTAACTTGCCAATTGCCATCACTAAATCCTTCCACGAGAACCTACAAATCACATGAATTTAATAGGGAATCTAGAGAATGTAAAGAGGTAAGATTCTACTCGATTGCTTACCTTAATAACCCAATCCATAGTATTATCTTGCCTCGTAAATTTTGTTTGGGAGTTTTATATTAAGAATTTTAACTATTTTTTCTACCCATAAGTCATAACCCAAAACAAATCACAAAAGCTCAAGCAAATCCAACACATAACTTATCATTGGATTCCGAACATCACATTAAGTATCCTAAATAAGTAAAAGAAATTATGCATTCGTGATATTTATAATCCCTATACTTTGTAGGTTAATCCATTTAGTGACTTGATAAGTTTGTTTTGGAGCACACTCACTTGCCATGTATAATAGAAATTCATATTTACTCATCAACCCATCTCATAAATCACTTTTCCTCTTGTTTTGCCGATGCGAATACAAGTTAGTCAAAACGTAATGAGACTTGAAATTGATTAACAACGTTAAAATGAGAAGCGAACAAGATGAATCTCCAACATATATGATATGTGATTCATCATCAATCGTTGTTAATGCGATGCTGAATTGGAAGATTCTTAAAATTTCAATTAGAGCTTGGAAGTGAATATGATAATCGACAAAAAACATGAGTAGTTATTTGTATAATATATGCCATTATTTTTAATCAGATATTTTTCATTAATCAACCCTAAAACACATAGGGTATAAGCGATAGAAATTGTCATTAATTAATTTAACCCCAAAAGATTTCGTCCATTAACCAGAAAATTCTTTTACCATTTCTGCTTCGCCGATGCTCAACTATAATAGTAAGTCTATTTTACCCAGCCGATCGATTTCACGACGAAACACAAAACCTAAAAAGGCTGGTGGGTTTCTTCCACCTGTTTTTTCTGCTCCCGCCATGGCTGCTACCACTAGCAGTTCCAGGAACTCGTCTCTTAGACTTCTCCTGCTTGTAACTGCATTCACATGGCTGACTTGCGTCTCTTCATTCTCAATGTGAGTCACTGAAGTCAATAATTAACCCTCTTAATGTTTCCCCTTTAGTTAGTAACGTAATGTCTCCTTTTCCTTTGCTCTTATTGTTCTTCATCAGGGTTTAACGATTTTTTTTTAAATTTAACAGAGGATTTCCATGGCAACAGAGCAACAGAAGACGCTCTATACATGGTTCCAAATTAGCTGCCTCCTCTGCTAATGACGTGAAGCTCACCTTGGATCGTCACTCTCAACACGTAAGAAAAGTCACTATACAATCCACATGTTACCAATTAGCTTCTGTGCACAATTTTTTTTTTCTTTTTCCTGACAGGTTATACTAGACAACGGCCTGGTGAAAGTCAGCCTGTCGAATCCTCGCGGCGACGTATCAGAAGTTTGGTACAGAGGAGTCCAGTCGCTGGAACGGCGGAATCATGACAAGAACAGAGGATACTGGGACGTCGTCTGGTACGAACCAGGAAAGCCCGGCAACATCGACGGGTATAAAATCCGAGCCAAACTAATTATCCGGTTCGTTTAATTTTCGCGCTCAATCACAGAAGAAATTTTTTTGGTTGGTTGGCAGGATGGAGGGAACCGGTTTCAGGATCGTACACCAGGCCCCCGACCTCATCGAGGTCGCTTTCTCCAGAAGCTGGAACATCTCCCGCCGGGGATCCATCGCTCCCCTGAACGTGGAGAAGCGTTATATAATGCAGCGAGGCACCTCTGGGTTCTACGCGTACGCCGTCGTCGAGAGGCTCAAAGGGTGGCCGGACACCGTCATGGACCAGCTCCGGATTGTCTTCAAACTCGACAAAGACAGGTAACGAAAATGCCATTTATGTTCCCAATTTGGCTTGCTCTGTTTTTTTTTTTTTCTTTTTCTTTTAGGTACGTTGTTAATGTGGCTAGTGGTTGCAGGTTTGACTACATGGCTATATCGGAGGAGAGGCAGAGGGTGATGCCGACGCAGGAGGATCGTGACCGGGGCAAGCGGCTGGCGTACCCGGAAGCCGTTCTGCTGACGAACACGTCGAATAAGGCGCTGGAAGGCGAGGTGGATGACAAGTATCAGTACTCCTTGGAGCATCAGGATGACAGAGTCCATGGTTGGGTTTCGACCAGGGACCGGATCGGGTTCTGGTTGGTTTTTCCGAGCTACGAGTTTCGAACCGGTGGGCCGACTAAGCAAGAACTCACCTCCCATGTCGGCCCCACTCTTCTCGGCGTAAGACGACTTTTTTTATTTATTATCTTTGCCGAATTCAAATTAACGGTTTTGAAGATATATGTTTTACGGTTCTTTAGTGTTCGTTATGGGTTTCTCCTATGTTTCAGATGTTCGGTTCGACCCATTACGCCGGGAGCGACATCGACACAACGTATAGAAGCTCCGAGGCTTGGAAAATGGTGTACGGCCCTGTTTTCATCTACCTCAATTCTGCTTCTACTGGTAGCTCCCCTAGAGTTCTTTACCAAGATGCCCAATTAAAGGTGAGAGAGTAAAAAAAATTGTGTAAGATTTGATATTGGGAACTCTAGTGGTCTGATTTCGTGGTTTGAATCTTTGTGCTCTCTATCAGATGAAGCTAGAAGAGAGCAAATGGCCCTATGGTTTCGTCCATTCTGACGATTTTCCGTCATGGCAACAACGTGGGTCTGTTTCGGGTCGACTCGTAATCAAAGATCCGTAATAAAGTCTCACTTTTTTCCTCTATATATTAATTCATTAACATTAATGTTGTAGATTATGAATATGCTACCTACAATTTTTAGATATATGAAGACGATGTATGGAAGTGGGGCACATATGGGACTAGCGCCGCCTGGAGCGCCAGGTTCATGGCAAAGAGACGGCAAGAACTACCAGTTCTGGAACAAGACAAACAATCACGGCGGCTTTTCAATAAACAACGTCAGACCTGGAACGTATAGTTTGTACGGTTGGGTTCCTGGCCTTCTAGGAGATTACAAGTTCCACAAGGATGTTGTCATTACGCCAGGTATAAACAAAAAATGGATCAAACTGGACAAGAAATTGAGTTGGTGATGCTAATTTTTAGTATGGTGGTTTGTTTTGTATCCTACACAGGGTCACACACTGAACTGGGTTTCCTAGTGTTCGAGCCACCGAGAAATGGTCCGACCGTATGGGAAATCGGGGTACCCGACCGGTCAGCTGCAGAGTTCTTCGTCCCGGAACCTGAACCGACCTACATCAACAAGTTGTACAAGAATCTCCCCAAGGATTGGTATCGACAGTACGGATTGTGGGAGAGGTACTCAAAGTTGTTCCCGGTGACAGACGTGAATTTCACCATCGGTGTTCATGATTACAGCAAAGATTGGTACTTTGCCCAAGTCACAAGGTAATTAACCAAGACTAATCGTGTCGATTAGCTAAAACAACAAGTATGATTATTAATACGTGAACTTATCCCTGTCTTTGCAACACTTTCAGAGAAGTGAAAGATCCGAAAAGCGGTGCCATCAAATTTCAAGCAACAAACTGGCGGATAAATTTCGATCTCCAAGAAGTGGATTCCAGCGGGAACTACACGTTTCGGATGGCACTGGCGGCCGCATTTGACTCTAAAGTTGAAGTAATTTAATTTTTTTTTTAATTCTCATCCTTTTGATTCAAGTCATATATTTACTAATTACTCTGTTAATTTGATGAGTTAAATTAAATAATTATTTGGTAAACCTTTCTTGTAGATTATGTTCAACTACCCGTACGATCGGCAGCCGGTGTACATAACGGAGCGGGTCGGGACCGATAACGGAATAGCAAGGCACGGGATCCATGGGCTGCACTGGATTTACGCCGTCAACGTGCCGCCGAATGTGCTGAGGAAAGGGCCCAACTGGTTTATTTTGAGGCAGGCCCACGCAATGGGGCCTTTCAACGGCGTTATGTATGATTATCTCCGCTTGGAAGGCCCACCTAAGAAAGCCCGCTAAAAACTTGGTCGAAGCACAATTTTTTTTTTTTTTTTTTTGTAGCTATGCACTTCACGGATCTACTTCTGTTTTTTTTTAGGTTAGGGTATAATCTACTTTAACGAGAGTGCTTACTTTAAGTCTTTAACGGACATTTCATAATTTTATTTATTGATAATTCAATTGATACCTACATCTCTTCCGAATTTATGACATTCATTTGTACTTATTTGCCTATTCAATATATTCCACTTGCACCAAATTATACAAAATCATGACGTATATACCAACGTATAGTTGGGGCAGAGAGCGGATCTGGTGACTAAAGGGGGGTGCTTAGTCACTTGGCTAAGCCCCCCTCAGCCATTGGATCCTTATTAATTGATCTAATGGTGGAAATAAGGGAAGGGATGATTAAATAATGAGAGGGGCAATTTTGGGATTATGAAAATTTTATTTAATTTTTTTTTTCTCCAGCCAGTCTTCTTCTGCGTATGATGGAAGAACGCCGCCCATGAGAGAGAGAAGGGGAGAACGCCGGCGATGATGGAAGATCGACGGTGCCGGCGACGACGAAGAGAGGGAAAGGAGAACGAACGTACAGAGGCGGCGGCTTTGAAGAGAGAGAAAGCAGATCTCGTCGTCGGGAAACCAGAGGAGAGAGAGAGACAATGGAGAGGCGACGGAGAGAGAGCGCCGGCGACAATGGAGGAGAGAGAGGCGGCGCGACGATGGAGAGAGAGAGAGAGAGGTTGCGATGGCAGTAGATTGAATCAGCGGCGGCAGCGGTGGAGAGAGAGTCGACGGCGGCGGCAGCGGTGAAGAGAGAGTCGTCTGAAGGAAGAACAGTGATTTGTATAGTTTGTATGTTTTGTAACATTAGTTTGTATTGTTAGTATTTTTGTACAAAATGTCAGTATGGTTTGTATGTTTTTCTTTGACAGTTTGTACTCTTAGTATGTTTTTCTTTGACAGTATGGTTTGTATGTTTTTCTTTGACAGTTTGTACTCTTAGTATGTTTTTCTTTGACAGTTTGTATTCTTAGTATGTTTTGCTTTTATTCTTAGTATGTTTCGCTTTGTATTGTAAGTACTAAAAATTTGTATACTTTATATGTATTGATTTGTGATGCAAAAAACATTACAAACATGGTTGACAAAAATGACAAACATATGGACAAAAATAACAAACATTACAAACAATACAAAAGAAACCAACAAACATTACAAACAATACAAAATAACAAACATTACAAACATTGCAAACAAACATTACAAACATTACAAACAAACATTACAAACAGTACAAAGCATACTACACGTACAGAATATCACTACTTACAATACAGATTGGTAAACTTGTATTACAAACAAATGAATACAAAGTATACAAATCATAACATAAAAGTATACAAACATTACAAACATTGCAAACAAACATTACAAACATTACAAACAAACAAATGAATACAAAGTATACAAATCATAACATAAAAGTATACAAACATGACAAAATAACAAACATGACAAACAAACATTACAAACATTACAATGTATACAAAATAGTAATATAAACATTACAAACATCACGAACTCAATACTGTTGCCGGAAAATCATCCACCACCGTCTCTGGTCGCCGGGAAACTGCTCCGCCGTCGCCGGAAAAGTTCTCTCTCTCTCTCTCTCTCTCTCTCTCTCTCTCTCTCTCTCTCTCTCTCTCTCTCTCTCTCTCTCTCTCTCTCTCTCTCTCTCTCTCTCTCTCTCTCTCTCTCTCTCTCTCGAAACATATGCCCAGGAAAATGGCAATCCCCATCCCACGAAGCTCTCTGTTTGGGATATAAATCCCCCTGTGGTGGGAATAAAAATCCCCGGGAGAGGATCACGCGCGCCGGATCGCTTTGCCATGTCGCCGGAATCATGCTGCCGTCGCCGGAGTCGTGTTCCGCCGCCGGACTCGCACTGCTACGTCGACGGAAAAATTCCCAAAAAGGACCGACGGGAGGGTGGAGGGACGATTGAATATTTTCTTATTATTTTATTTTAATTTTTAAATAAATAAAATGTGTAATTACAATCTTGTCCTTCATTAAACTAGATAAATTAGAACCATCAGATTTTAATGAGGCTGGATGGCTGAGATTGGCTTAGGCATGTGACTAAGGGGACCCCCCTTAGTCACCTGATCTTATCCCGTTGGGGCAAGCATTTGAAGAATTTACGATTAATTATCTCAAATGTAATGACCAAACAGAAGATAAATATAAAGATCCTCAGATCTTTATCTCCGAGCAACAAAAAGTTAAGAAATGCCACCAAATTTCGTTGAAATCAATAAGAGTATTGGTCGGCTTGCAACGCAACCACGGGACAGGAAGTAGAATGCAACTGCACCGACTGGACCAGTATCATGAGTTCCAATGAGTTTTGGAGGCTATACATTGGATTGGATAGGTGAACATGAGAGGAGGCTGATCTGGCCGCTATATATAACTTTTTGATACTCCAGAGTTTGTTTTTGTTCACAACCAGTGCGCAGCTGGTTTTGATTTTGACCACAAATTGAAGTTAGTGGTTAAGGCCGAACCAAGAAAATCACTTAAGCCCAGTAGCAAGGGTAGGGGTGGTGGCTATACGGTCCGGTCTGGTTAAACTGGTCCGAATTGACCCAATCTCGGTCCGGTTTTTTTTTTTAATATGGGATTCAAAATTGGATTGGGTACAATCCGGTTTTTACCCAGACCAACTTGCCAGAAAATTCATCATATTACCCTTTTTTGGAAAGTAGACAACTTGTTTATATGCAGAAAATACAAGCTAAACATATAAATTACCAAATAGCCAGGCTTGGTAAGGTGCACCTAAAAATAGATGTCCAATTGTCTCCCTCTTATTCCAACACATAAATTATCAAGGTAGGTCACAACTCAAGATTGCAGAGCGATGAGTGTAGGAAGCACCACTCTTGGACATTGCCAGATGAAAATTTTCAGTTTTTAGGGCAACTTAATCCGACCAAATCTTTTCTCATAATGGAAGATCCATAATCTAAATCGTTTGCTTTTGAATACTTATTTAAGAAAGTTCCAAGGCCTAGTAACATGATTTCAAATATAAAAGGCCACTTTAGACAATCGTATGTTTTTTCATGTCCAATATTAGGTTCATCCAAGTGTTGCTATATAATGTGTTTTGAGGAACCAATTTATTTCATGGCTAATGAGAACATTACGAAAATATGTCGATCTCGAGTGAACCGTCCTAGAGATAAAAAAAAGGGAGGACTCTACTTAATCAATTAACCTAGATTTTTTTAATGATTTTATAAATCACCTGCCATAGGCTGATAGGCTGAAGAACATTCATGGACTGAATATCTGGGACTTCACGAATTACTAGGGAAATCCAAGTCAGTTAAAGCAACGAAATGGAAGCCCATAATGTAAAAAAAAAAAATATGCAAACATTGTCACAATCACATCATTTTCCACTACATTCTAGTAAATCTGGAAAAATTCAGCCTTGAACCATTCGGGTTAAATCTAATCCATGTCTTCTGCTGAAATATTTGGAAAGAAAGTGTTTCCTCGGAAAACCCAAACACCACCGCCGGTGCCGAATTCGTTTCCGGCGATGTTGATTTGATATTTCGCGGTGGAAACTCTTGCGGTGCCGTTTGATCGACTGCACCGCTAATTGCTGAAATCGAGACGACCGTCAAATATCCGCCGCCGAATGTCGGCGCCGTTGATTTGATCGATGCACCTCTAAATGGTGAAATCAACGTGACCGTAAAATATCCACCGTCGGGCGGTGTTGATCTGATCGATGCACTTCTGACTTCTAACCAAGAACGACCGTCACTACGGTTCGCACCTCTCCAAACTACGTTCGAACGAGGGTGTTTGAGTTTTGAGGAATCTACGCTACCGCTACTCCTATGGAGATTCCTGTGGATAGCTCCGCGACTACGACTAAGACTACAACTATGGAGATCCTTCCTGGAAGGAGAGCTCCGCGAAGGAGTTACAGAGGTCAGAGAAAAAGATAAGTTTGACAGATGTGTTTCTGTGTTGATTTGGTTGTCCCCATTCTCTCTCCTTGCTCCACTGTTTTTATTCGAAAAACTGCTTCGTAGTCTTCACGCTCGGTGGAACCGCTTCCTCAACTGCTCCGTTGTGAAATTCCACGTGTCTCAACCGCTTCGCTCCTCAAACTGCTTCGCGTGAACTTTACGTGCGTTGTTTTCATGATCCCGCGATGTCGTTTCCTTTCCCAAACAGCTCCGCTTGATTCTACCCGCGACATCGTTTTAATATTAAACGACTCCGCTTCCAGCCTTGCGGTATCGTTTTCTTTCCCAACCAGCTCCGTTTGTTTTTTTCTTCCGTGACACTGTTTATTATTAAACACTGTCGTTTGCTAGTATAGCGGTACCGTTGGGCTTCCTCGCGGTACCGTTTTTAATTCCGCGGCACCGTTTTAGCTCTCCGCGGTGCCGCTTATCCCTATCCAACAAGGAATATAAATAATAATTAAATAATCAAAACTCCTCCTCCAACCTTCATTAAACGCGCGGCCCTTTTTTATTTTCGGCCAGCAGTGTCGTTTCCGGTGTCGCGGTTCCGCTGAGCCTCCTTGCGGTACCGTTTTAACTCTCCGCAGTGCCGCTTGTCTCCATACGGTACCGCTTCTCCCCTTCCCACAAGGAATAATAATAATAATAATAATAATAATAATAATAATAATAATAATAAAACTCCTTTTCCAACACCAATACCAAACGCGCGGCCCACATCTTGTTTCCCGATAAACGGTGTCGTTTCTAGTATCGCGGTACCCCTGAGCCTCCTTGCGGTACCGTTTTAACTCTCCGCGGTGCCGCTTGTCTCCAAACGACACCGTTTTTTACCCGCGGTATCGAATTAAATGACGAGACTAATTAATGCGGCATTTAATTCCGGCCAAATTAATTTTAGGTGTCAACAGAAAGGAACAACAAGATCTTTGACGATTTATATAT